ATTCACAATATTATTTTGGTAGGCGGATGCATAATCAATTTGACTCGGAATAGCAGGCGGCCGTTTTCTTATCAGCCGCCTCCGCAGTGGACATACGCGGTGGACGTATCTTCTTTGTGGTAATAAATAATAATAATCATAACCAACCTGTTCTGTTTAAAATTTACAAATTTAAATGAGAAAGCGAGAGAGAAAAGTTGGGCCAACTAAGTATTTTATTTCAATTGTGTCTTATGTACAACGTTGCTTTAGTAAAGCTTTATTTAAGATAAAACTTAAGTTCTCTTAAAATTATTAAAATGTACTGTTGACTGGTTTGAATATTGTAAAATAACATAAACTTAAGTGTCTCCAAAAAGAAAAAAAAACTACAAAATTGGAATTATTTTTTAGAGAAAATGAGTGTCTTGTCTTGTAAATGAATCACCCTGTATAGGTTATTGTGCTGAGGTTCATAAGTGGCAAGTCCCTAACGTTTTCATCTTGCAGAGCTCTAAAGATATGGCAACGCCCTGACTAAAATGAAACGAAAGGAAAAGTGATAACTATTTGTGTAGGTACATAATTTATTGCTTTTGTTGAAAACTGTGTGTTGGATTTCGCGAACAATCGGAAAAGTTTATTGACCTTCGATTCTTTTACACTGGTTCAAACGCACAATGTCTTCTTAGAGATGATCCAGATAAAATGTCCGTGGCGACTTGTCGTTATTATTTTTTTTTTTTCTATATCGATTTTCTACAATGCAGCGCACCTCGGCCAGGGCTTTTTTTTCAACTTCGCAGAATTCGTGAGTTGTATCCCAAGCGACATAATTAAAAAAGCGGCGGCCGCGGTTAAGATCGTGAGCATGGCGCAATATCGTTATTTTAGAAGATAGTCCCATGTGTGTAATATGTACACTGTGTAGTTTACAATGTGTACTTTGTGTGCCCAGAGTAAGTACCTACCTATAGTGTCAATGACTGATAAATACTACACAACACAACACACATGATGTTTTACAAATGTTGTGCGGTTGGTGTAAAAATTTATCTGGCGTAGTCGAAATGATAAAGAACCAAAGACCAAGAACAAATTCTCCACAGCCAAGGCACACACACACACACAGATAGAAAAACCGACGGGAGATTTGTTATGTATTATGTGTGTATGTTTTTTGTTTTGCATGAATAACATGCATTGTGTAACATAGAGGGAGTACTCCACATAACTCTATTCATTGAATCCAATTTCATTGTTTCGTACGAGTAAATTTATATACCTATATATCTAGGTATATGTGCGTGTACCTATATTATATACATCACAATATATACGGTATACTCAGATATATAATATATATTTTATTGTCGCCATTAAACGCAATACATAATTATATTTCATGCCCCGGGCCGTTTTTCATCGAACAAAATCATCCAACGTCATTCGACAATCATATTTGAAAAAAATCAAAATTGTGTTCGTTTTTGTCTATTCAAATAGGACCGAATAATAATAATTAATGTGTGCTTATCTTTTACGCGTGAAACGAACCGTTGAAACTTACTAAAAATGCGGTTATTCTCATTAGGCGTTCGATTATTGCAAGGGAATTGCAATGGCATAGTAGTTAAATCGTACGTGGTGTTATTACAGAGCACGTGTCCAGCGTGGAGCTGGACGCGAAAAGGAAATCATTAAGAAACCACTACGGGTCTTAAGGAAATGATTAATTTATTGACCGGAGTCGGTACTCGTTAAACGATCCGGATCATTAAATTCTCAACAAAAATCCACAAGGGTCAAGCAACAACAGCTAAACCGGCGATTGCTGCATGGCCTACAACAGTCCAACAAGGTGTGTATTAAAAATCGTTAACGGGATGAATCATGCGGTGCACCGAGACAATTACATAGGTACCGACAGAATAATAAATATTGCACAATCGTATAAAGTGACTTATACTATAACGTACAGACGCCATCGGATTTCATCTTATTGGGTGTACAAGTCTATTGGGAATGTGTGCAGTGCGTGTGAATTCCTCAACAACGATTTGCTTATACACAGAACGCGCATAATATATCCATTAACACGCGTGTATTAACGTTACAGAATTGGAATTTTAATTAACCAACCGCCGCCTGGTAGTCCAATGTCTTTATCGTGCAAGTCTGTTGTAGCTATTATACCATTCCCTATACTCATAAAGTAGATAATACCTAATAATATACAGTTATTACCTAGATAGTATTTTTATAAATATAAAGCATTATTCAGCGCCGTGTTTACGACCAAACACAAAAACCAGGTCGGACAAATGCGCATCCAAAACTCGGGCACTAAGTTATTGGTCCCAATAAACCCTAATCCGGTTTTGTGTGTTCCCCAATAGGATGTGTCCACCGCACGTTCCAAATGTGACCTATACCTCGGTAAGAAAAACATTTAAAAAAAACCAATAAAAGAAGACTATTGTATATAATTTTTCGAGTCGTCTGATTGTTATTGTATTTTGTTATTTTTTGCGCACATATCCGGAAAAATACATTTATGACACGCCGCCGCATTCATTGTAATAACCGCCGACCCGTACGTTATGGACGGACATCCATTGTTAACATTCGGAATAAGGACAAGGATAATCGAAGAACAATAAGCAAAGAACATTATGTGTCGTCGAAACATAAAAATCAATACGCCCATGTGTTGTGCACCCCCATGAACAATGTCCAGGCCGCGGTATTTCTCGTCGATCGTCTCCTACCCATAAACCTACACCGGCAATTGGCATTGCGTTATCTATTTGCAAAATCTCTCGGTATAGGTCGGACCTGCTCGGCCTGTACCATCCTCGTGAAACGTTCCTTGATTTATGGGACGACCTCAGCGACCGTTGCGGGTATTGTCATGAGCGGATTACACATACTTCTCGCATTACACACACACACACACACGTTATATGGTCGGTGGTGGCTGTTAACTTGGAGCAAAAAAAAAAAAAGTATTGCCTTGTACTTACATCATTTTAATTAGAATATATATTGTTTTAAAAATCAATCCACGACTCCTTAAGTATCGGCTTTAAAACGATTATTGATCGCTCCACGAGTCGAGAGTACCGTCTTGCGTTTTTTCTCTCGCTTGTCGGTCCTCAGTAAGAAAACTGCACACACATAATAATATACTTACTGGTTAATTGTGTAACGCTCCGGGGACTATATCATGGTGAATCAATTCGGTGCACAATTCAGTTATAAACACACACGGCAAGGCTCTCTCGATACGCACTCGATGCAGGTAATCCGGAGAGCACAAACACGGGAGGGACTTAAAAACAGCTCCGCGTAACGACAATACACAAGAACAAGGTTGACGACCGCGCAGCATGAAGAGTATAGTAATAATAATAACACCATACATGATATTATAAAGGAATAGTATTATTATCTCATAAATAATAATCGTACCTATATAGTATCAAATCGTGTAAAACTTTAACTTGAACTTTATAAATGTATACAATGTACGATAAAAATTATTATGGTTAACGGTAATAAGGCAACCCAAATGGTCGTTTTCATGGAAAATTTGAAAAATCAAACTTGACTCGATTTAATTTGAATATCAGTTTTTCCAACAATTACAACCCTACTTGAACATGTTTAAAATGTATTACAAATATGTTACAAGTATGCTATATGTTTAAAATCTATTACAAAGAACTATGAAACCAGCTCAAAGCTCACCAACATTGTAACATATCAAAATAGTACTTTTCTGCTTTAATTTGTAACTTTTGACACATTTAAGGATTTACAAATGTCTGTTTTTAGTTAGGTATTTTAATAATATTTGTTTCTTACAAGTTACATAATATGTTTTAGTTGTAATTGAATAAAAAATGTAAAACTGATTAATAATCACTATGATGCTGGAAGTCTAAACAGAATTAATTGTAAACCCTGTTAATTTGTATTTTATTTTTGGTATAATATACTAAAAACATGTGTTTCTGCATGCATAATTAATTTGATTGTATTCGGCGATTGGTATAAAAGAGAAAATTTAAATATGTATCTAAAGTAAAAATCAAATGCATCAAGTTATTTTTAACTTGTAAGTGTTGAAATAAGAAATACAAATTTAAACGTCGATAAACACTTATTCCAGTTACATTTTGGTTTTTTTCTTAAGATAAATAATTTAATATATATTTTAACTTATTTAAGAAATGTACAACATAGCTAGTTAAGTGTATTATTTAATTCCAAACGTTTGTATGTAAGGAAATCGCCAAATAAATGATAGATTTTTAAATAAAATACAAAAAAAAAAATTAATTATTGTTACTCCATGCAGATAATTAATTATATGATATACTTTTACTATATTATCTATATTTATTATAACAGGTACGTGGATGCTAATATTAAATAACAAATGAAAACGTTTTATTATTATTTTAGGAAATTTGTTGGTTTTATTTTTTAAGAATTAACAACTATTCGGGAAAATTAGATTTTAATAATCTATCGATTTTCTATGTCTAGCAACACATTCGGATCAGATGGCATGAATTTTCTTAGTCATTGAGTATTTATAATATAGTTTAAGCCCAAAGGAAAATAGAGAGTCACTGCCGGACGGACTATAACGCCACCCAATATATGCGATGCGCGCGGTCACGCTCTAATTTTGCCGGTAAAACAATGTTTTCCAAGGTGGAAAAAAAGGAGTAGTTAATCCCGGAGAGTATAGAAATTAATTAACATAGAAATTTGTCTACGGCGATGACTGTCCGTTTACGCGCCTATCGTTTTTCGTCCGATTGTAGGTCGATTAACACACGCGGATTTTACACACTTGTAATTAACAAAAAAAAAAAAAAACAATACTGTAACGCGCCGGAATGACATAGTTTGAGTCGATTACACGGTCCATCCATCGGTAATTTATTATATATAATATATATATATATTATAATCTAGATACGAGGAGCAAGGGCTAAACTTACCGTGGTTTGTCCGGTCCAAAACGGAATATAGGTAATAATATATAATCGTCCACATCCGACGTTTTCTTCACACAGCACGAAACAACGGCGACGCGCACAGAAATTACAAGACAAGAGCTGTTAGTAGAATTTTTGTGTAAAAAACAAAATCAAACCGAAAAAAAAAAACAAATTCCAAAATTCAACTCGAACCACTCTCGGCGTGAGCACGTGCAAATGGTGTGCGCGAGAAGAGGTGGCGGCACGCGGCGCGCATGTGACTGAACAGGCGCGCGAGCAGATACTGACCCGGCTGGTCGGCCGCCGTATCCGTTTTGTATCTGGCCGTGACGGTTTGGCTCCCCCGACAAATTATTATTATTCACTCCTCTGGATACATGTAGTATAGTGACGTTACGCGTTATTTAGATTAGATTTGTTTCCAAGAATACAGCCGGTATCGTACAATAACCATACCTATGGAGGTATACATGTACAATACACAAGACGAACCTATTTGGCGCGACCGCTGCTGTGTATTGATCGTTATTAATTTGATAATATCCCAAATTAAAAAACCTAGATAGACCTGGTACCACAGAATTATTTTTCTAGAAAAACTGCAACACCCCAGAGAGATCCGCAGGGTCCGACCCTTGAGAATATGCATCTCAAACATAATATGTCAGAAAATAATTAATACCACAGGGCCACAGGTTAACGGTTCATTAAAGTCTCTCTGTATCTAAAGACATTCAAATATAACCTTCAAGCGATTTTTACTTGCATTTTATAAATCGAATAACCAATAAACGATTTTATTCGAGATGAATACTTTTAATTATTTTTTTTTAGAATAAAACAGAATTAAATAGTACAGTTTTTCCAATAAACTAATTTATTATTTTTGAATTGCAATATTAAATCTGGCATGGAACAACTTTTTGTCTTATGTTTTTTGAAAAAAAAACACTATTTTTTTTAATGTGTCTTAGTAGGCGATTTTTTATAACATTTAAACTTCCTAGAGTTACAAAATTGTTATTGACTTTGTTGTTTGGCTTATAATTAAAAAATTTAATTGCTTTACAATTTAAATATTGATTCAAATTCGATAATTCTTAATTCAATTATGCCAAGCTTAGCTCATTATTTTGTTATAAATATAAAATATGTATGAAAATACAATTTTTATAATGTTCAACTTCTCGTTCATTACAGCATACATGAAATGATTTTAACCGTTAATAATTGTATTATTAGGATTTCATCAGCTACCAACAAGATAGTCAATTCACGTTTGAAATATACAAAAACTGCTCAGTCTAAGCAATACAGATCCTAATCAAACCTTTTCATCGTTTTCATTCTTGATCAGGTAGAGTAAAGAAACTGGTCCGCATGGATGCTTGTTATCCAAAGGTTATGGTTGACATCTTTACGATTACCCGTGAGACGTAAAAATATTTTTAGTGATGTACATTTTACCTACCTATTATATTTAAGAAATATGAATGTGCTTCTTTAGGATCAAAATTTACAACTCCAAGAACCTAAACTGTACGGTACAGGGTACTTGGTTCTGGTAGTCAGATCTAATCTATTGTTCAACGTTTTACCTAAGCGTCATATCGTAAACTACTACAGGTACTTCCACATAGTTTATTTAGGTATATTTCATATGTATGTTCAACTAAATACCATCATAGTATGCATTTGAAAATAAAGGAATATTTTACAACGATTAAAGAATTGCAAGAAGTATGGCTACAAAATCGTTTAACAAAATGCCAAAAACAAAGACATGTCATTTAAATTTCGCCAAAAATTGCCGCAATATACTCCATTAAAACCAATGTTTTGTTTTTTATCGGACGACTAGTAAGTATAAAACTTATTTTTAAAAAAAAACTATTTAAGAGAAAAAGTGAAGTAGATTATCGAAAACTAGACCATTGAAACCGAGACGTACAGTATTATTCAGTACAGAAAAATTAAGCAAAGTTGGAATAAAGCAATGATTAAATGTCAGTGTGAATTCATCAAAATCAAACGCTTCGATGATAATTTGCTATTATTAAGAACTTATAAACCAGCACAGTCTAGGCCATACAGTCCATATAGGTAATCGGTATTTAAAAAAAAATCCAATTTTCGAGTACAACATAATAAGAGACTTGTTGAATAAAATGTATTTTTTAACTTAAATTTTCTTTTATGTAAATTCTTTTTCGTTTTTATTTATTGTATTCATGCACTTGTTACCAAATGATTCTTAGGACACTCTATTGCCCTACGATACAAATAGTTGCTAAAGTGATCGCTATAAAAAATAAAACATTATGGAAACAAAAGATTTATAAATTTTAAAAAAGAGATCTCTGATCATTCTGTGCCTCTCAGTAAACCAATGAAATTACCTCAAGAAAACATGGAAAATGTGGACTTGCGAAACTTGGAATCCAAGATAAGACCTAAACTATATTTTTTTTTTTGCTTGTACGTTTATGTGATTAAAACATTACATTTCTTAATTTCGGTGCATTAATAAAAAAAATATTACTTAAAATTATATTTCTCATATTATGTTTGAATTCAATAGCCCGACTGTGCACTGCAATAATAGGTAGGTTCAAGGAACTTTGTGGTGTAAAACATTTAAGAGTTTAGTCAATACGATTTGCACATGTGTACGTATGATGATCTATGCAGATCGCCGTTTAATTAAATGTGTATATTGAAATACGGTAGAAAGTATATTTTTCAAAGGCATAAAAATAACAAAATATAAAAACTTAAGTACTAACTGCTAAGTAACAATGGTCTTACGCGTTGGATACCTTTTGTAAGTACTATTATCATTTCTGACCTAGTAACTAAATATTTTTTCTGACTTTTACAAGACATTTTTTTACATAATTTTACACTAACGTAACTGAACTATATGTCAATTTTTTTGACAAGCATTTCAATTTGTATTGAAATTAAATTATTTATGAGTTTCGCAAGCTAAGGCCGTCTGGGAAACAAAATACAACTATGTACGTGACTATCGTTAGATTTAGGTACAATATTGATAAACAATAATTTTAAAATATTGATATTTTATAAATGTTCTGCTGAGGCTTAGAAAATATTATAAGACATTTTTACCAAAAACTATACAAACTACGGAAATCTAACTAATAATATTTGCAGTCATAACAGATAATTTAAAAACTACACCTCAGTTGTAAATATTTTTGTATTATCTACTCGTACTACAATAGAATCCAGTAAAACACATAAAATTTCATAACATTTGTGAAAACATTGTTGTGTTATAATTTCCTATTTCACATAATATTATTATTTTTACTATTATATGGTTGTAGGTAACAATATATAGTGTCGGAAAATAAATTAACTTGTATTTTGTTATGAGACTTTCACCTCTATGCTATAAATTTTATTTTCACCGCTGAGCTGAGAAAAAATTAATAATAATAAGCCATCGCGTTGGACTTGTTTACACTCTACTGTCTGTAATGTGTGATTCTTTGTGAGAACTACTTTTTGGACTAGTACCTATTAATTACTTCATTTCAACTATAGTTGTCAGAATGCTATATGAATTATTTGCTATAAAAAAACACCAATTGTTATCATAATATCCGACGAACCAAGTTATAACATGTTTATTATTAATGAAGAATTGCTAAGAGCCGCTTTTACTTAGATACGTGAAAGTTACGCATATGAGTAAAACAATTTCTTTTGGAAAAATGATAAAATAATGTATTATCAATTCTATATTCAAGTTAGAAATTGTATCACTGTTTAATAACATGAATTTTTGTTTTTAATACAAAACAGCGTACTCTGGTTGTTGGCAGCATTCATATAAACTACAATATTATTTATTTTATGATTTTGTACTCGAATTAGTAATAACAAATAATAATAACCTAAATGTTATTACTACTATTTTCCCCCTAAACCACCTTTAATATGCCTAATTTGTTTTTTGTGCACTACCTATAGGCTATTATGGTCTATAGAGTATAGACCTATTATGAAAGTCGCTATCTGCGTTATCTGTACAAATTTCCCCGTTGGCTATCAATATGGACTTCACATTTTGTGGAGTAAATGATTCTGAACCATTTAAAACATTTACAGTTAGTCTATTGTACTTATAATTGTAATACACGTGTGGAAGTAACTACCGACGACTTGAGCAGAAGTAACGGTTAAGGATTTTTTTTTTTCGGGATTTGTCTATTATACACTTTCATGATTTTTATGAACAACAAATGACAGAGAACCCTATGCATAGTTCACAGATTCTCGATACAAGTCGGTTTAATCTAATAACGGTTCTTTTACACAGGGTATAATAACTTGAAGATTACAGAAAAGAAAACATCCAAGAAGGAAGAATCACTACCATAGTTAATAACTATAAGAACACCGAATACCTATGTATTCAGCAGATTTACTTACATTTTAAGTAGGTTAACTGGTATTACAAGATTTGTGTGTTCTATATTCAATAACAACAACATTTTTATGGTTAAGGGTTTAAATATGAATTTCTAACCTAACCATATCAAAAACATTGTAAAACATGCTTTTTCTTATAAATCTCTTTTGCATCCAAACGACTGACTAAATAGAATATTGTTGTCTAGGCATTATGCTGAAGTTCTGGTTCTGTAAGTAGGAATACAACTACTAGGTATACATATAGAAGGCTTTGATGTGCCAAGTAACTTTTTCACTTTGTTGACTTTATAATGTGCTCGCTTATACTTGGTCAAGTTCTTGCGAAATCACATTAAAGTGTTTCACTGTGATTTAAAAATATGCACATATCACTATAATACTTATAAATAATGGCAGCATTGCCTTAATTTAGTCGTTTGGGCCTAAGTTAGAAAAATGTATAGGAGTTAAGGACACAATTATTATGATTACACCTAATATTCATGTAGAACATATTAAATTGAATTACATAGTTTTCATCAAAAATCAATCAATCAAGCTCTTTGTGTATACAAATAATAATTGTAATAGTAAATTGAGAATTACATGTGTGATTATACCTTTAAAAAAACACATTTTATCATTACATTAGATTTTTCAACCAGACATGGAAGAATCCATTATACAAACAATATTATAGTATACTGTACACTTGAAAAAAAACAATAAGGATAATTTAAATTTCATTTGGTTAGTTGCTATACATTGCATGATGTACAACTCGAGATGCGGATCAATGATCTATACGTGAGGTACTTCAGTATGTTTAATACTTCTGACTCACTCAAAGTGCATCCGTGGCACTAAGGTAAACGTTGTACAGAATAAATATAGAATACGTGAGTGGGTGAATCAAACAATGCATTGTGCATTTCCATAAACGTTACGGCAGGCAATGCCGCGATGGGTTGTTCTTTCCCCTTTAGTTTGACGTCTATGCATTTGGCTTGAATAACCCGTCAAATATTATAATCTGGTCGGCATTATACGTAAATGGAATAAAATAACCATTTAAAATGCAATTCACCCTTAACAATTATTATACTTAAGGTTAAAGGTAGGTATCATATCGGATGTAATAAAATATACTGTACGGCGAGATTTAAACTGAAATCTCTTGATAATAATATTATGACAAAAGTATATATCGTTAAATACACATAAACAATTATCATCCTTAGTCTTAGTTACAACAGTCTTGTGATTACAGGGGCCAGTCTGTAAAAGTGAACTTTCCAGATGGCCTGTTGCAACTTGAGTAAAAATCAAATATTATCTACCTACTTACAAAATATACCGGTAGTAAGGAGAATGCCGATTCTGGCCAGAATGGATTATGCTGCTACATTTGCAGTTTATTTTTTTTTTTTGCAACAAATGACGTCATATCAGTGCTCACCTGATGACGTCACATTGAATGTCCCCCAGCCCTTACCCCACGCCATGTTACCTGTTGATTTATTCAATTGGCATAGGTCAGTAACATACCAATTAAATCTCACAGTCAATTTTGTTTTATATTTTGAACTTTTAAAAAAATATATATTTTTGTTATGTTTTTACAATGTTATAAAATGTCCGAACCTACCAGTTTAAATTATCCGTTTTCCTAACTAACCCATCTCCAATAATCGACCTATCCATTCAAGTTTTAAACGTTTTCATGGCGCTAAACTTATCAAGTTCATTTTGAAACCGCTCAGTTTAAACTCACATTCGTGTTGGATTATTGTTTCTTTTCTTCCTCCAGTTCAACTGAGTGGAAGTGAATCAACAGAATAGAACCTCATCACCCTCGGATAGTATATGGCAGCAGCCAAGACACGTAGGTACATATACCGGCCTCGAGCATTATTCATGGGCGGCGGTGTTCCAGGAATCGTTTTAGCACATATCCCGCTATAGTCACAAGACGGCTATCATTTACACACACAGACGGGGCTTGTGTGCATCGTCTTCTACTCATCCATCCTTCTTCGATCGGTCCTTTTGTCTTCTGCCATCAACTCTTGCAATTCCATCTCTCTGAATGTGCCCGGTGTGTGTGTATACATATCCTTCCGATACACATACAACGGCAACCGTAGTAATATACATTATCACAAGAATAATACCACCGCATCTAGCGGTGGCTAAAAAAAAGTTATCGACCGAATCGGTTGCAATAGTTATTTTTTATTATTGTAGTATGTATGTGTTTGCATGGAACGGCCTCCGGGCGACGAAGCCAAGCACAAAAGGACCCGAAAAAAACGCACGCGGTTGGTCTGACTCTGTGGCTGCAATTCGATTAGCCCGTCCCCGGATCGGAGAATTTTTCATCAATTGATCATACCCACAATAACCAAATACTTATTATAATATACATATGAACCTAGGCGTATATACTACACACACACATAGGTACGTAGAAAGACAGTCGCAGTACATAATGTAAAAATTAAATAACAATCTTTAGAAATTTTCGACGGACCGAAAATCGCCCAACGACAGGTCGTTAACCCTTCTTGGATATTTACAGTCGCTGTACGGTGTGTAAATTGTACATGGTGCAATAAGATGAGCAAGTACGACGTTGTAGCCATACCGTCGAACAACAATAGTGCGAATATTATATGAACAATTTCCAGTTATTATCGCTTGTCGGGAAAAAAAAATATATGATTCAATTTGATTAGAATAAGAACAAAAGCTACCTGGAACCCACCATTTTTAGCTAATCAAAACGAATTATTATTTTGGAGTAGGTTCACTATCCGAATTTCTACACCGGACGGGTTGTGTTAGAACAGCCAAGTTCACAATATCATAGCCATGAAATCCAATCATAAAATCATCACCCTCGTGAGAGCTTAGAAAGAAAATTACTTAGGAAGGACCACAACAGTGGAATTTTCAGCCATAAGAAACCTGTACGCCTATAGGCTATACATTTTTATGTAGAAAAAACACAGTCACGCAGATCGGTGTTTATAGACTTTTGACAAGTTTCAGAATAAAACCAATTATATTATCAACGTTGAAGAATATAATATTGCTTATGGTCGTGCGTTACCTGATTTTGTAAGTAACAAATATATATATATATATATATATTACAAAACCAAGCACAGTTTAAATCAGCATAGTCCAAAATAATTACAGTAGAAATCAGTACAGAATTTCCACTGTGCTTTGACCTAACTTTGCTAACTTCTTAGCAAAGTTGGATGAAAGTAATTATTAAATCTGAATGTGATTTCATCACGATCAATCGCTTTGGTACGAATCTGTAAATAGTGTAAATCTAGCATAGTCTAAACCGTTCAACAGTTCAAACTAGCACAGTAAGAAATTACTTAAATAAAGTCCGGTATCCACAGATTGGCATCGAATCGTTTTCTTGAAAAACAGACACACTTCATTGTAGAAATAGGTATGCCCTATATAAAATGGGTTCTGGTTTGGTTACTAATAAACTAATTTAACTTAAAGCTTTGTGATGTATAATTTGTAAATGAAGAAATCAGTTTTGTTGTTTGAAAGTTATCGTGAAATCAGACACAAACCATTTTTTTATTTAGATTCAAGTGGTGTAATTAATTAACACACGGCACAAATACCTAAATAAACTTTTTAAAAATTTTTTTTCAAAATTGATTTCAAATAAAATTGTTTAGTTATGTGTTGATAAAATAATAGTAAATTTAATATAACATAAATCATATTAATTAGTTATATTATGTTTTATATGTATTTAAAAAATACTCAAACACTTTTTGTTTAACCCCCCCCCCCTTTCCTCCATGATCCTAATTTAATATAATTCATATATTTTTACTAATTTATAATTATTGTAAATCTTAAACGAAAATACAATTTAAAAAAATTATGAAAGGGCTCAGGGGTCATAATAGCTTCTCCATAATGCCAATGCCTCTGAGAAGAAATTGAATGTATTTTTTTTAAGAGCTTAGCAGCAAAGCCTTTGTTACATTATATAATACATATTTTATAAACTATAAAAATAACCAAGAACTATTGACAAAAAGTTAATATCCAATTGAAAATTAAAGCAGGTAAGAACAAACATTTACTATTTTTGTCAATTAAGATTTATTTGACACTTGAAAATAATTATAAAAATGTAATACCTTACTACTTATTTATTTTCGTGGATAATGTAATTTTTAAATGTTATATCTCTTCTAAATTGTTCTTTTGCTTTTACATATCTTTACTTTGACTACTTAAAATCCTGGAGAGTGGAGTACCTACTATAAGGTAGTTAAGAAACGTTCATTGAAAATATGTACCTAATTAATATAAAAATTGTTTCAATTTTAATAAAACAGATGTGCACAAATTTTGTGTACGTTTATATTCATCCCCTTGAGGTATTTGCGCGTTTGGAACAACTAACAAGTAGATCTTAAAACCCAATTTTTTTAGACGGTTTTTTTTTTAGACAACTATTGGATTTTGAATGGTAACGTACCTATATATTTCAATATCTTTTTAAATTGAGAATAATGTACTAAACATTTTTAATGGTTGATAACCAGTTTTGGACAACTATTTTTAAGTTATAAGAGTTTAAAAGTCAGGGAGGTTAGTAAAAACAAAAAAAATTGTGAAAAATTGAAATCACATTGTATAAAAACAATATGAAAAAAGACATTTTAATTTCTTATTAAACCCTATGAGATATTGAGTGGGCCAAGAGAAAAAAATTATTCTGAAGATGACTATTATTCTGTTATCTCTTATCATTGTTATCAACTATTTACGTTATCACTTATCTTGGTAGCCGGTTGTACTCGTAAGTATAGTAAATATAGGTAATAGGTTGTGGCAAAGTGGGCAAAATAACTGGAACTGTCAACATAACACAAAATATTTGTAATGAAATCTCATTTGATTTCGGTTAATTTATATTAATCATGAACTTACGTTAATTTTAAAAGTAACAGTATAAAATTCTGTAGTATAATGTCGATTAATTCGATTTTTTCAACCAAACATTTGGTTCGATTTTTAAAAAAAAACGCAGAAATCATAGTAGAAAAGCGTTTTTCTCAATGTTCTCAGCAATTTGATGTGATAGTCGTAGGCGGAGGCCATGCTGGAACAGAAGCGTGTTCAGCCGCCGCCAGAATGGGTGCTAGTACGTTGTTAGTAACCCACACAAAATCGTCAGTCGGTAAGTTATGGTGAAATTTGTGTCTAAAGGTAACTAATCATTTTGAACGATAAAAATTAATGCATTTAACATATTTTAGGTGAAATGTCGTGTAATCCATCATTCGGTGGAATAGGTAAAGGACACTTGATGAGAGAAATAGATTCTCTTGATGGATTGTGTGCCAAGATCTGCGATTTATCGGGCATACATTACAAAGTAGTATTTTTATAATAATTTTTTTAAAACAGTTCTATATAAATCACAGTTATATTGCAGGTTCTCAACCGTAAGAAAGGACCAGCCGTTTGGGGTCTAAGAGCTCAAATTGATAGGAAACTTTACAAACGCAACCTGCAACATGAGCTCTTCGAGAACACTCCTAATTTAAAGATCCTTGAAGGTTCTGTTGAGGATATTGTACTTGATGAACAAAATAATTGTAGTGGAATATTGCTAGGTAATAGAAATTTATTTGGTAGATAATGCAATTACAAGTATGTAAATAATCATAATTTTTTTGTAATTATTTATTAGAAAATGGTACATTGCTAAAAACTAGATGTGTCGTTTTAACTACCGGAACATTTTTAAATGGTGAAATGTATAGTGGAACGACTGTAAAGCCAGGTGGTCGGATCAATTCTAGACCTTCGACTGGACTAGCTAACACATTAAAAAAATTAGGATTTAAAACTGGTAGAATGAAAACTGGTACCCCTCCTCGTATCGAAAGACAGTCTATAAACTTCACCAATTTGAATTTTGAACCCGGTGACAGTACACCAATACCGTTTTCATTTATGAACGATTCGGTTTGGATTGATGTAAGATACCGTTGGATAAAATTCAGGGGAGGACTAGACAGGCTGGGAACATGTAAAGTTTAATTTAACACTTTATTAAAATATATCTATTTAATTTTTATCATCATATTTGGTACAAAAAAACATTAATATACTGGCTCTAGAAGCTAATAAAATAAAAGCAGCCCAACGGGTATAATATTATTTTACACCTGCTGCACGCCTGCCTCATCCGCCCCTGGATAAATTGTATTTTAATGATTAATTTTTTATTAATTTTTCAGCCTAAAAATCAAATAAAAACATTTATAACATATACTAACAGTAAAGTTCATCAAATTGTGATTGATAATTTAAGTACAAACAGACACATCAAAGAAGAAGTAAAAGGTCCACGTTATTGTCCATCACTAGAATCAAAATCACTTAAGTAAATATAATTAATCTTTTCGACACATGTATTATTTATAGTAATAAACTTATTCACACTAGATTTCGAGATAGAAGTCATCAAATATGGCTGGAAATAGAAGGATTCGATAGCAACATTGTTTACCCAAATGGCTTGTCGTGTACTTTACCCGAAGAGTTACAAGTTAAAATGATTAGAAGCATAGAGGGATTGGAAAATGCAAATATTGTTCAATTTGGTATGATTTTAAAAATCAGTCAATTTACGGGGTACAAATATTTATGAGTGATCCAGATTGTTTGTGGTGCTAATTAAATATTTAGGCTACGGTGTAGAATATGATTATGTCGACCCTCGTGAACTGTACCCTACGTTAGAAACAAAGAAACTGTCCGGTTTGTTTTTTGCTGGACAAATTAACGGCACAACTGGTTACGAAGAAGCAGCCGCTCAAGGTATTTTGGCTGGAATTAATGCCGCTGCCAAAGTAAGAATTATTTATTTCTATATTCTTGTTTGACAAGGGGCTGTATTTCTAATGAAAAACTAAATTTTATCTTAATTTTTTTACAGGCCATAAAAAAGCCCCCTTTTACGCTAAGTAGAACTGAGGCATACATTGGTGTACTCGTAGACGACTTGACAACCTTGGGCACCGATGAACCGTACCGTATGTTTACCGGACGGGCAGAATTCCGTTTGTACTTGAGGCCAGATAACGCGGATATTAGACTTACTCAAAAAGGTTTTTACTAGTATGTCTTTTGCAAATACCACCAGAAATTAATTAATTATTTTTTCCTCACATTTCACGTAGGCTATAATGTAGGTTGTGTAAGCGAAAAACGTTTCAAACAAACTATGAAAATACTTTCTGATATTGAAGAAGCTATCGAATTGTTAAAGTCCATTTCAATGACTATGTATAAATGGAAAACGTTATTGGGATTGAAGACTTCTAGAAATCCTGAAACAAAAACGTACGTGCAAGTACATGTATATATTTTTTTTAATAACCGATTTTCGTTTAACTATTGTTTTAATTTTCAACAGTGCACTCGAAATTTTGGGTTTGGTTACTGAAGGTATTACATTAGAGCAATTAGAAAAAATACTTCCACATGAATTAAATGGAAAATTCAATTGTTCGAAATTGAAAACACGTTTGAAAATTGAAGCCATATACCATTTGTCTGTGCGTAATCAACAGAATGAAATAGAACGTATGGAACTTGATCAAGCTTTACTTTTGCCATCAGATATTGATTATTCAGAGTAACTACTTGATTTATTTCACATAATATTAAATAATTACATAAAAACATTGTATTTTTAGAAAATCACTTAGTTTATCAAAAGAAGAAATAGAAAAGCTTACATATATTCAACCACAAACTGTAAGTTCTACAATCAAATCATTTTTTTTTGTTAATTGATGAAAATTAAAAATTAATATTATTTTTGTTTTGTAGCTAGGAGCCGCTAGTCGAATACCCGGCATAAAATCTAGCACAGTTTTGAGACTGCTTCATTTTATAAAAGGTCAAGAGAATTATAAATACGTTAATTAAATATAGAATTGTGATAGCTAATTGCTTGTTTGTGTATACATCAACATTAAATATAAGTTGAGAAAAGAACTTGATAACATTGTTTTTTGAAAATCAATCGTTTTACTATTTTTTTTTCTTTGATCAGTTTCCAAAAAAAAAAAAAGTAAAACCTATAATTCTTCTAACGTTAATTTTATTATCGTTGTAGATAATATATAAGTGGTTGTGGTAGTCTGACAAAAAAAATAATTACAAATAAAGAATGCCAATGTAATTGAAGCCGCCATCAGGCAAAAGGTTTTCAGTTACTTAAATTAAGCCTGACTTAGGTAAAGTTTTCTAGTCAGTCGCACAGCTATATTATGTGACATGTAAATGTTTACCCCAAGAAATATTCGAATAAGCATTTAAAAAGCAACAAAGGGTTTAAAATTGTATTTTCTATCATTAGGGTGGATACGATCCGGTCGACGTAACCAACCCGACATTCGTCAACTTGTTTACTAATTTTGGACGTTCTAAATTATATAATGAAAAAATAACTCTGATTTAGATATGGTAGTGATGGGTGAATCATGTCAATGAAAGGTTTGCCAATGCATATTCCACTGAAAGTTCACACTACATTTATAGGTTAGGTATTATTACTAATACCTAAGTTTTGGCAGGTATGAAACCTTTTTACATGACCTGCGTCCAACTATAATTTACAATAGTAATTAGTTGGTCCCTATGCCACCTAAGATGATATTATACGGGTAGATAATATATCTCGGCATTCTTTGAGTTACGGTCATCGATAATTAAAAAATAATCATTTAATTGTACCTAGTCACAAATAATAAATGTATTGTGAAGAACAATAGTTTTGCCAGCACAACAATACTCATTCTGACTAATGTTGTATAGTTTTTAGGTACACAACTCGCGTGTCCTCCGGCACTTTCCGATCAAAATGAAATCATATATAACGGTCTTTGTGAAAAACATTCCGCAATCAAACGTTTTCAAAAGTGACTGACCTAAGGTGAATAGTCAAATCATTTTCAAGCAACGCTATTTCTTGTCACTGGGTCATTTAAATTCCTTAAATAGTTTCGAGTCCATTGGCATCCACTATAGGAAATTTTCTTTTAATTCAATTAGGTCTTCATAATTGGCACCTATGTTAATATAAACATACCGTATAGAAATCTAAAAACTTTATTAGTTCCCTATGGATGTGTTTACACATTTTTTCCCCTCAACTTATTTATTATTAGTTGGCCAATATAATACTGCGTTTCTACATTACAGCTAACTTCCTTCATGTGTTTTTATCTATTATCTGCTTGAAATGTGGTTTATTTCTTCATTAGTCCAGTCTCATTTGTTTTGCACTTCTCAGTCCACGTTTGTTTGTTGTACAAGTTTTTCATGATTATAGTACTTGGAAATTATTTATCATAACTACACTAGCACATTTTACATAGAATTGTGTCGAGGGCTCGACAAAGTTGGCAACATATTTAAATTAAATTACCAATACAAAGTAAAACAAAAAATGTTCTTATTTAAATCAAATTAACAATATTTAATACGAATAATTTTGTTTTTTGAAAATTATCCAATAAAAACATATTATTTATAAATTTCGAGTTGAGCTTAAGCCATATGCCCATATCTTTTATAGCATACGAATATGAATGAATAATAAGATGTTATTAATTTTTGTTTTTATTCAGATAAAAATAGTAGTAAAAGTTTTTTTACTTAATTAATCACAAATAAATGGTCGGTCTTGGCTACTTTAATTGTAACATGCTACCTGCCTACCTAAATTGTACTTAACAAATAACTGCGTGTCTAAGATAATGTAATAATTATGCAATCCTCAATGAAGGCCCCAAATCGTCCTATGATATTTAAATTCTCAAATTAAACTGCGTTCTTGTATAATATTTTAATACCAAATTATGTACTATGGAAAATATACCTACTTTAAAAAGCAATGGTTTTATAAGGCCACATAATATTAAATAATATGTATACAATACACAAAAAATAAGAAGATATATTTATATATAGTAACCAAGTACATAGTACTAAATATTTTTGAAAAATACAGACATAATTGTATAGTTATGTATAATAATAAATGAAAAACCATTTTTTTTTTAGAGTAATATAAATAGATGTAATAAATTAATTACATGTGTGTAAAAAATTAAGCTTAGGTTCTTTGTGTAGTTGTGTTGGTAAGAATTTGAGTAGGTACAATATTTAAGGTAGGTCATCAAATACTAGTTTTGATTTATATTTTATATAAACAGAAGTGCATACAATAAGAGTACGCCATGTTGTTATAATATATTTATAATAATTAGAACGTGCATCTAATAAATCGCCCATCTTGGCGATCTGAGAGATATTTTTGGTATAGTTTCATCAACATCTGAACAACGTAGCCGTCTTGTTTTTCTTTAAGATCTGTTAAAACTTTAAAAATAAAAATTGAATTATTTTAATCAATGAGTAGCTTAGTTCCTACTTCCTTTAATACATTTTTTAATTTTATCCATGCATTACTAATTACTGTGTATAAAACATATGAATAAAATCATTAAGCTCAATAATAATATGGTACATTGAATTTAGGCTCAGTAAAAAGTGGCCTTGTAGTAAGAATATTAATTTTATTAATGTGCGTTTATGTTTTTCATTTGAAACGTTATAATTTATACTTTGTAGGATATAACGACGTAAAACAGTTGAGATTTTAAAAGTTGTTCGGATTTGGTCAAGGTTATTGGTAATTACAATATTAGTGTCATTAAAATCGAAAATAAGTCATAAAACAACACCTACGATTTATATTTTAGCTTTGACCCAGAGTGGAGCTGTTAAAATATAAGTTCATCTTGAACTAGCTGATCAATTACTTCATATAAGAAGTTTGTACATCAGATATTATACCTGAAATGGGTTTTTCTACAAACGAACAAGCAAAATATTCAAATTAAAAAATGATTGCATTCATTTTTTGTTTGGGAAAAAAATATAATAACACTACTAAGAACACATTAATTGTCTATGGTTTATCTATTCAAAAGTGATTTTATTATAATAGCCTTTTCCTAGAAGTTTATTTGCGATCAGAGAAAATTAGTTTCTTGCGGCTCACCTCTGTTTTATAATGTTTGTCTAATCTAATCTCTTACATTGATAATAGTAATTTTAATAAATTGACAATAAACTAAATTTGCAATTCCAAAAAAACTATCGTAACTCTTTTAGGTCAAATTTACTAGGCATTATTCATATAAGCTCTGTTATATTGCTTTGGTCTTAGTATTTAAGTAGTATGCCACAAAACTATATTACGATACTCATATACAGTGAAAAGTGATTTATTAAACTATCTGTGCTCAAGATTTGTGATATTATGTACTACAAGAGTGGATACTGTTAGTTAATAACCTGAAATAGTCCAAACAAAAATCAAATTTAATACCACTATTTTTTTTTTACTCTAACAAAATAATTTATTTTTAAATTTAATGTTTTCTTACTAAATAATATAGTACACAACTAATTTTAACAATTCTTCTTATTCTACGTTTTGGCGTTGATTCGGAATGAAACCGAGAAGGTGTTCTAATAATCACTTAGTTGTTCTAAAATAAATGTCGAGAGCAGGAAGACGCCAATAAGCATTTTGGAATTGGCATTGTTCCAAACAAAATAAAAAAAAACTTCCAAGAAACTGTAAGCCAAATAATAGATGGAATTATTAGTTTTTTTTTACTAAATATATTTTAAACCCGTAATAGTTTGTATCTAGTAAATTATATATAAAACACCAAATATGGCAGTGTATATGATATACTGAACTAATAATTAAGGTTATGTTAACCTTTTGTTAAAACTAGTGGCTTAAATATAATCTATTTATCTAATATAATATCTATGTGTAATGTGTATGTAACTATTTATATATAATATAAATTATAAAATCAAAAACTACTAATATATGTAAATAACTGTGCAGTAGGGTACCCAGCAGAAGGGTATGACGTTTTACAAAAAACAATAAATCACTTGTTCAAAACTAAGTGGTTTTTTGATTTTGAAAAACTCCTTTACTGGTTGCATGAAATAAAATAAAATAAAAAAAAACAAAATTAAATTAAAATAATAATATTAATAATTGTAATTGGCTACATGAAGTACATTATTAGATTAGCATTTTAAAATATTGACAACAATATTTTTACAGAATAGTATATATGTATAATGCCTAAATTATAAATATACTTATCTGTGAGAACGAAAAATGAACACATATATACATAATATATGTATATATATTACACAATACTAGTTACCTAGAAACGAATATTTATAATACTATATTTTAAAACGCTAAGCAAGGCACTACTATTTTCGTAGCTTTCCATTTGTATGAATGTAACTGACTTGATTAGTTTTATGATCAACAGTATTCAGATCTTCATCAGGCCCTAAATCGTGAAAAAGAATTTGTTAAATTTAATTAACAACAATACACACTAGTAGGTTTATAAAAGTAAATAGTAACTAAAATACCTTTTAAATAGTGACAGAAATTCTTAGTCTTATCCCAATCTTCAACGAGCGACAAATTGAACATTGAATAGGATGCGCTTCCTGTCACCTCAGCCTCGATATCTAGGAACTTTGGTAACCGGTCGAGAAGTTCTTTGTCCTCAAGAGCAGAATACGTCTCAAGCAGTACTAACCCTTCACATCTGAAATATTGTAAGCAAGTTAAAATATAACATGGTATTGGTTTAATAAAATTTTAAAAATTTACCTAGGATGGCAGGGTTTGCAATAAATATCCAGCTGGAAATACTGATTGTTGTGTATAAAGCATCGTCGTTTTTTATAAATCGGATAGTGTGTTTCGTCTTTCTGCGACAATAAATTTACATAATCTCGGTGACTTAGCTGAGTCTTCACTTCGATGACCTGACCTCGAACTCGTGGCCTACGAATGGTATGAGTATAATTCCAATGCCCTTCAAAAAAATAAATACATCCGGTTATAAAAAACTGAAACAAATTATTTTGCTCATTTCAACGTGTCGCCCAACCTTTTTGTCCTCGTTTTCGCAGACGAGCTTGCATATTTTTAGTATATGTTTGTAAATAATTATGGACAACGTCGAAATCTTGAAACGGAGGAAACAACTGATCACTGGGAAGATATTTCACCAGCCATTTTCGTTTCTTCGAGTTTGTCGCCAAACGATCACCGGTATCGAGACCCAATTTTTGACATACGGCCTGAAAAATATAATAACATTGAAAAGGGGACAAAAGAGACTCACAAATTCATTTACCGCTATCATTCTGCAAATTTTATTTTCAAAGTCAGATGAATTATCAATTACATCAAAATACGGATGACCTATCCACGACGCCGATGCTTTAGTATCCAAACTTCTCGCCAACGATACGTCTTCTCTTCTGCTTGAATGATCCTTAAGAACAAAATATTCAAAATGCAATTATTGCAATTTTGAAAAAAAATATCTTCAATAAAATAATTACTTCTGTCGTATAAAAGTCTTCAGCGCCACAAGCAGCAGAAACCATATGTATTATTTGATTATAGCGATTGTCTCTCAAATCGACCATGTTAAAATTATTATCTTTCATTATTTGATCCCATTTACTGCTAGACACATCTGCAAAAAAATTGCAATTGGGTTCAAATTCAAATTTTTGCGTTGTTGAATCCAAGTGTTAAAACAGTAATGTGAATTTCTCTTTGCCATGTTAATACTCGAGTATAAACATTTTAACTTTGGCCTTATTATTATTATTTTTTTTTTTTGTTAATCTAATAGTTATTCAAGTGTACTAATTACATGCGGCAGCATCCATGGCGCCTCTGTCGCAAATAATCAGACAATCTTGTTCGCATGTTTCTCCAAGTTCAAAAAATGTATTTTCCATTTGTAGCATACATCTGAGCAAGTTTTCTTGGAATTTATGAGCTACAACAGAATATAATAGTATCATTACTATATTTAAGTGCATGACATGATATTAGGTGTAGTCTTAATAAATAATGGGACATAAGCATGATTTCCTCAGGCAAGACTTGTAGGGCTTTTTAAATCAATATATTAGCTTCACAACCGTTTTTGTTCATGTTATTTACAATACTGTAAAATCACTAAATATTTACTTTTTTAGTATTTTCCAGAGCTCTACCGACTTTTTTAAAACTCCAATGGTACATGCTTAATTAGTATTTTAAAGTAACTAAAATAAAAAATTACAATTATTTTAAGAGAACGAGTGTCTCAATGAATCACTCTGTATTGTAGCTGTAGTTAGTCGTGGTAAATTGGTAGGTGATCTGATGTTTTATCGTTATAATTGCATCTCAAGATTAACACATTTGCAATGGGCAAGAAGAAACGGAGCAAAAATAAATGTTGTCTTGCTCGGTGTGAAAAACATGCTTACAATTTAAATAACTGGCTCGTGGCCAAATATTAAAATGATTTTATTTAAGGTCACTCTTAAGGTAGCTAATAAAATTTATATCTTGTACCTTCGTCGTCATTCAGTTCCGAAAATTTGACTCCACCACTGAAAAGATACATAATAAAATGTACTCGGTTTAAAATTATTTATAAACTGCGCACGTTGTAAGTTATCTTTGGAAAGCGCTTTTTTATTGTAGACACTAAATGCTTTGTGTTGGTCATTAAATATACAAACATAAGGAGTATAAATAACTTGAAGTAACAAAAATCGAAACAATAGACTTTTTTAAGAGACAGGTCTAAATTGTTTGTTTAACTCAAGTTTATTGTGAGACTTAAAGAGTTTTTTTATAGAAAAGGTAGGGAAATGGGTAGAGAACAATTTTCTCTACTAAAATATAACCTTGATTGCGGACATTGCTCGAGTATAGCACCTACTTAAAATGTTAAAATTAATATATTTTGAAAAAATTATTTTAAGAGTAATCACTGTTAATTTTTTTAACATAATAAATTAGGTAACAATTGGCAACTTTTTATTTTAATATTAATAAAAATGGTATTACCTTAAAAGAACATTGGCCGTCTCTGGAACCCTATACACCTGAAATTGAACGTAAAGTATAAAACTCCTTTGTTCACAAAATATATTTACTTTACACGTCTTACCTTCCATCCTAAATTTTCAAAAAAGGTGCTCAGTCTCGACTGCCCCGTTGTTTTACCACCACAAGGACCTAAAACACAAAAAAAAAAACACTACTTTTATTAAATCATTTTAACACCAAGTTTAAAGTTTTATACTTTAACTTTACTCAAGTTTGAAAGCAATGCTAATTCTCATAAGTTATACCTAATTAGATGAGTGCTATTAAAAAAGAGGTATAAAAAAAAATAAAGAAATCATACGTGTAATAATTGTCAATGGTCTCATTTAAATACTTTAGGTAATTTTTTTTTTTAGTTCCCATGAAAAGCCAAAACGTTTTTTGTAATATTCCGGTTGCAAATTTAAAAAGGCGTCTTAAAACTGAATTAATGAAATTCATGTTTATTCAAAGAAAAAACATATTATGTAAAAACATTTCAAGGTTCAAACGGTTCATTAACAAGCAGTTTACACAATAAATAATCGTGGATAAAAATAATTAAGATTGTAAGGCAAAGAATTTTTATTTTTTTTTATTTTGCAGCAAATTTTTTTATCATGTAAATTGAATGGACATAATTTATAAATATTTTCTGAAAAATATACTATTGAAAAAACGTTTTATCTCATATGTTCTAAACAACATTGTCTATTATGCATGCCGGTGATAATCCATAGGTGATTTAATTCATACACGTTGAATGAAAGAAAGCAAGCAAATTTTACAGATAAAAATTTTGAGATAAATGCCATAATTGCACGACGCGGCATTATCATATTATTATTTAAACGGCCAACAATATTAAAAAAAATAGGGTTTTATCGACAAATCGAAAAAAACTGTCTAACTAAACACTATTATTATATTAATAATTATTATTACATGACCGAACTAACGGGTTTCCGCGTTTTTCAAGTGCTTCGAATGCCGGCTGTGTTTACACTTTATTCATTTTAGCTGTCATATTTTAATGAGTACATATGTGTCTAAATCTGAATTAGGTTCAATGCACCAAGACAAAGTCATACAACCATATTTCTGGCCAACTATAAAACATGCGATATTTATTTGATATCAAAGCAGAATGGAGGTCAGTAGGTACTTGCATACGAGGACATGGAGATTAGCCATGCTAACATTATATATGCGATTTGATTTGATGACAAATCGTTATTTGTTCAACTTCAACTGAATTGTAATTGAGCAAATTAAAAGTCTCTCGTTTAATTATACAGGAGCTTCGCGTTATAAACAACCGACGAGGCAGACGTAAAATGTAATATTATAAAATAATAAGTTGTGTGGTGTGTCTTTTGATCAATTTGTTTTTGTCCAAACGAAAATCATAACAAGCCAGAGTAAATAATGGAAATGACGTTTATTAACATAACCATAATAATTAAACGATAATTTGAATGTTAACGAAGTACCGATGACACACACACAAGGAGATTTTTTCAAACATTATTGTCACTAGAATAATACTTGAAATGCTAACCTTGAAACGTTGACGTAGGTGTAGTAAAATTTATTAATGCGTATTACCCGTAATAGTAGTGTATTGTACTATGGGAGTGAAACTTAAGCTTTGTTGGTATAAATATAATTTAAAACTACAACGGTCCATTTTCACAACCATCAAAAGTCGAAACATTATAAACCCCGTTAAATAGCGTTACGAGCTCTAAAGAATTTTAATTAAATTTAAACAAAGCCAACAAGAAAAAAATATCAAAGTATAAAGCACATTATATAATAATATGTTTAAGGTCTAGAACTGCATTTAATCGATGTGAACTTTTTAAGGTCATCATAAACTCGGTTATTCGATTTTATTTAACATGTCAGTCAATGCATTAAAGCGTAAATCCTTAAAATAATTTTAAACGATAAGAAATTCCTATTAAAAGTAAATATTTTTACTGTAAGCAATGTGCTTCGAGCTTTTTCTAAGTGTGGTCGATACAACAAAGATTCCCAAACATAATGTAGCCACTATATTCCTACTACAGGACATGACAACGTATGTTGAGGCTTCAAAAATATTGTTTACAGATATTGCCGTTAAATTTAGCAAATTTCTAAAGAAAACAGGAAAATTTTATTTTATATTGACATATAACGTGTACAATGTTGTTGTTGATGCTATAAATTATTATAGTATATTTTTCACTAAATTAAAAAAATGTACAATTACTTGGTAAACTACAAGAAACGGTGGCACATCACGCATAACTCACAAGGTACAAAAATATTGCTATTGATACACGCTCAAGTAGCACTGGTCTAAATAGCACACGCGGTTTTGTTTACCATGACCAAAGTTCAATGAAACAACTGCTTGTTTCTTTTTGAATATTACACGCTATTTCATTAACTATAGTACATAATATATTATTATTACAAAACTGTGCAGCAGCGCATACTGCTCTCACGCGTGGATCACGATTCTAACATAATCACTAGCCAAATATTTATTATTATAAAATAGGCCGACCGTGGAAAATTATATATGATGCGCAAAAATATGAAATTCATCGCTTTAGCTGGTTTTTTTACCGTTGAATTGCACGGTAAAAGTTCTGATTAAAATAATAATACAAATCATCTACAACACTTTGCAAGGATATTATAACAAATTGAAATCTACGGATAATAACAATAATAATAATAGGTATAAACAGTGTAGTAAAATCGTTCATCGACAGTATATAGGCTCGGTTTAATTGTATTCTTGATAATTACTAATCTGATAAGCTTTAAATAATAAATAATAATAAGCTGTTAGGTTATTTCCCAATGCTCATTGCAAGCTATTCATCATTCATCTACAGTAAGCATGGCACACACACGCGTTAAGCAGAGGACACGAGAAAAGTAACCTATATACTTAAATCAAAAATTAATTAGCTTCTTATTGGCCTCAGATAACCTTTGGAGACATCAAATCATATCCACCATCACATCTCGACTTCGCCAATATAACAAGACGTGGTCTCGAAAAAATATAGGTAAACTAACTTGGTTACTTATTTGAAAACATTTAAAAAAAACACATTAGCTTTGAAAGTAAAAAAACAACATTGCAAAGAAAACACGCTATGGCGTTAAATTTATTGTCTAACGTGACCCAGAAAGATTATTATTTTGGCTGACCTAAGGGACACACAGTTTTAATACGCCCACATGAACCGTTTTTTAACTTTACATAGCAACGTTTAAAAAAAAATAGAGTAGTAAAAAGTTGTCAATTTCAAATATATATTTGCTAAAATTTGGTCATCTATTATGATATGGCATTACAGCATCAGCAATATGCAATAATAATAATAATTCATATTGGGAAATTGGAATCATATCAATAGAAATTGTAAGGCCTTGTAGTATAATATAAACATTCAACGTCCATCGACCTTAAAAGTTTAAAGCTACCAACACGCAATAGGAAATTATCGAAAATATGCTGTTAAAAAGTTGAATAACCCAAAAAATGTTTGTGATTTTTTTTCATAACATACTGTATAGCATTAGTGAATAGATAAATGATCTGATAATGAGCAGTGAATCGGTGTTGTTTAGACTCCAAAAGTTTGTACACGCCATAGATGATTAACACACCGTAATAACACAGAGAATAGGTTAAATGGTATAATTGGTTGGTGTTCAGCGGTCATTTATTTTATTCCCTTTGATCTAAAAATAAAATAGTAAATTATGTGAAATAATCATTCCCGTCCGAGTTAATAACAAAATCGTTTTTCCCCAGCTCAAGTTGTTAACAAAAGCCAACCAAACACAGTACTGTATTTGTTAATGGCTCTAATCCTTTTAATACCATCAATTAAATGTAATTTAAATTTTGGTAATATATTATGTAGGTATTTTAAAAAAATGTGCCTGTTAATCACCATAATATTTATAAAAATATTTTTACTTTATAATGTAGGTACACAGATAACAGTAATGATACACAACACAGTAATCGCCTGTACAAACGAACATCGAACGTTTTTAATTAATATTAAATAATTTGCTAATTAAAAATACATAAAACTAAAAAACAAACAGACATTACTTTCCGGCTATCCAAGTACATTAGGCTGGGATGATATTAATTATTGTTGGAGCCACTAAATTTTCATTCCCATACATTGGTAATGAATGTTTAGTATCCTTATTTATTAATTTAAAAACATTGTCAATATTATATTATATAATTAAACTGATAAATTGTACTACTTAGACAGTATTCTCTAATAAGCAATAATTGCTATAGCATATATAGTTTGTACATCGTCCGGTAATGTAATGCTACTATTATTATTCACATGACTGTAATGATAACTTCAAATAGACTAAATTACATTCAGGCAACTTCAACAATTATACATAATCGTCAATCAAATAATTTACAAACCATATTAACTAGTTAAAAAAAAAGCAAATGTGTAATGTGTTTAAAAATGAACAAAAAAATTACATCTTAACACTCCGTTTCCTTGAAACCGTAAAAAAGTAACCTTAATCATAAAATTAAAGACAATAACCCTTTGGTATGTAAACACAAAAATAGTTGTAGTCTGTCACTTTTTACTAGTTAGTTGGTAATAATAATTGATAAGTGAAAAAAATAAAATAGTTTCAAATATCTTAATATCATGAGACATACCCAACAGTAAAGTATTAACTATGTTTTGGTATTGTTTGATCGTGGGAAAAAAATTACATTTTGATCATTTCTAATAGTCCATTTTCGCTACCTAGGAAATTTTCATTTCGGACTACTGTGGACCGCTTACCTATTGCATATTATATTTTTTTAGGTTTCATATAATATGATATCCAATAAAGTATACTACTATGTATGTTACTACTGTTTAATAGAGTTATAACGCCATACAAAATAATATATTGGCTGACAATCCGCTCAATTGACACGCAAGCTTTATCTATATGGCTTCATAAATTATAATCCCACAAAGGCGTGTGGCGTCAATCATAATATAAGAGTAGTTCATTACATACTATAAAATTTAAAGAATAACTTATGTAAGGTACTTTTAAGCAATAAACGTCTTATTCCTTCGATTTACAACTCATTCATTTTTATTGAACATTGTCCACAATACAGTATGAACCGGAAATGATCAATTTTACAACAAAAAAAAACGAGCAGAGTATCTACCCGAAATCAAATTATTTAGAATACACACAAGTGTAATGTAATTGTTTACTGTGAGGACAAACTTTAAACGAATTCCCAAAAATATCAGAATCTACTATATGACTATAGAAGAAACATTAAAGAAACTCGACTGTGTTTTAATCAATATAAATGTATTTTTTATACAATCAAAATATATCAAATTAACTGTAAAAAAGAAGTAATTTACTGTAAATCTTTAAACGTTTACTGTTAGCATAAACCTTGATGTAAATTGTAAAGTCAAGTGAAAGTAAAACAAACGATATTTTCCACGAGTTTTCCAACTTAATTCTTATAAATTCGTGACTGTTTATCAGATCTATTAATATTAATATTTGTTTTGTTTTCACATTCACAGCTAAACGCAACATATTTTTTTTTATGAAATAACAACATTGTTTGAGCAGGTACATTAAGAACAAAGGAGTTGATCAAATATAGTAAACTGCGAATTGCCATAATGTTAAAAGTACATTACGTTTATTTGACGATAACCACAAAGTTAAAGTCCAAAAGTAAAATCACATCGAAATTTGTAAAGAAATTGTTTATTTATTTAGAAATACTTACAAATTACAATATACTTTGATAAATAATAAAATTTACAAACTATATATGAAAAACTGGAATTATTTGCCCTGTGAAGTGTAGACGATTAATATCCCAAATTCTAACATTTTTTGTTCGGGGTTGGCGTCAACTGACTAGACCAAAGAACATCTAAACTATTAGATATTGTTGCAAAAGAATATGCTGGAATGTTAGGACTTATCCACTAAGATGTATTTTGAACCTTCTAACATACCCTAATCACATGGTCAACCAGGTAGCACGTGAGAACTAGAAAACAGCGAAGATTTACAATTGTTGATTTATTTGTAAAATTATAAAACCATAAACAAAATTATACTCCACTAATTTTTGCACAAATATTTTAAATCAGACTTATTTTTCATTTTAAATCTTTTCGATTTTTTTGCAGAACTTAAAATTAAAATGTTTTTAAAAATTGTATGTTGGGAGTTTGTTGAGATGTTTACCACTTGTGAAACGGGCGGTTTTGTTTAGTAGGCCTGTTTTGTTCATTGTAATGGAATATATTTTGGCGGCAACAACACGATCAAGAAGATATGGTTATTAAACAAAATAAAATGTTTTTGTGTACAAATAATAAAAACTGTGATGAATGACGCTTATTTACTTTGTTACTTGATAGAATTATTGTCTTAACCCAAATAAATGGCAAACGTGAAATGTGTAGGTATATTTGATCAAAATATGAAAAACACGACAGATAAAATCAGGATTATATATTTTAGGTATATTTTGCAAGACAATAACAAAGAATAGGCGCAATTTGAAAGGTGCTTAGCACTCCTAGTATTGAAATTAAACCCCACTTATTTTAGCGAATTTGCGCACCTGTATACAAATATACGAATGTATATTTTAAATGAAAAAAACTACATAACTCGGCTAAAAAAAAATCTTACCCAGACATTCCATAACGCGCTTGATAAAATATTTAAAAGCATCGCACCTTTCTAAAAAACAGGTAACAAAAATTTAGGACTATGAAAAATTTAACAACATGTTACAGGTAAAACGTAGTATTATAGCGTTGCAAAAAACACAGCGTCGGTATTTCAAATATCCTGAATAAGTAAAAACGTTTTTTGTCAGGTAAACACAAAATTTAGATATAATTCTATACTGCGCTGTATTTGACATACATATTTATTTTTAGAAATATAATTACTACGCCAAAATGCCAACAATTTTTCACAATAACTAGGTATAAACATATTATTTTTTTATCTATATGTACCTAATTGACCGAATAATAACCAGTTGTTCGATAGCTACAATAATCGTTCGAATGTTCATTCTATTAATAATTATTAATTTTCGCCCATTGTGTATACAAAAATATAGATGGGAATGCTTCAAAAAATCGGTTTCTTTAACGCTAATCTCTTTTGTTTTGTTAGCTATTTTACAAGTCGACAATACTTAATGTGCAATTAAAAAAGTCTCTAAACAATGGCACAACCACGTTTAATTTTAGAAACGTTCAAAGAAGTATCACAGATTAAGTATCTTACAACTATTCAATTGGCGTTTTTTATTATTGTAAAAACCAGCCGTAAAGGCCAATGGGTTATCCATGTATACCTACCTGAACTAGTTGCTCGCCACTAGTTACTCCACGGGTGGTCAATTTTAAAATTTTGAAACAGTAGTATTATTATTTATTAGTATAATGAATACGATATTTGTTAGATGAAAAACAAATGTGCATATTGTTGCATGAAAATTATGCAACAAATTGCTGTGTCTCGAAAAACCAGTAAACTTTTTTTCTTTTTCTTTTTGAGGTGGGGACGTATTGTGTATTTTTTGTAAATACAATTAGACGTATATTATAAAATGTGGGTTTTTTTTTTTATTGTAAGTGATCACAAGCTATCTCACATCTGAGAAGTGAGAACACAAGTAGGTATAAAAATATTAATCAAACTAACGAGTTCACGATTAACAAAATGATACCTAAAATAAACGTGATAATAGCAACAAAATACAACACTTAAAATTACAAATGTAATAAAAATATTATTGTATTAGTCATACCTACGTTTTCTCGATAGCGTGTAAACAAAAATATAATACACCTTCTAAGGTCATCGTACTAACTTTGGTTTAACACTAAATTTATTAAAAAACTAATCCTATTATTGATTAACTATTGGTTATTTTTTTATTAATAATTAACTAAAATAAATTCTTACCGCCAGTTAACACGATCTTGTACATTTTCTTAATTTTCCCGTCCATTATTGTTGTTAGTACTGTGTGTGCTGTAAGTGTTGGTTAACTGTAATGACAGGATAATTCCTGTAACTGGAACGTGACCATGTGACTATCACTTGTTGTAGTTGCCACTTAAAGATATTGTTTGAAAATGTGAAAAGGTTCGCATGATCATGGACATTCTTGCAATAGAATTATATTTCATACTGCTATGCATCAACTGAATTATTATAGATGAAAAATATAAGTGAATGTAACACGACAAAAATATACAACTAAAAGTTTCGGCGCGGAATATTATGTAAATAGACCAGAAGAGGACAGACCGAATGGACGTCCACACGGTCGGCCGAAATCACTCGTTTGATGTAGGATTAGCGGTTTGGTAGTGTGCTCTGTTATCATTGTGCTCTGTTATCAGTTATATTATATTATTATTATCACAATAGTTATCAATATAATGCGTTATCAGTAAAACCCATAAATAAAACAAGATTATGTAATATATTGACTGAATAGTATACATTTTGTTTTTTTATTAACTTTAGTCAATCATTTTTTTTTATTCTTCAATAAAATTAACATGCTAGCACTAATTGGCTTGCTATTACTTATTGACCAATAATTACAGCAGCTGTAATGGTAATGGCACGGCGCAGTTGTTTATCCTGAACCGTCTTTTGTCCTAAATGTTATTACATCTAAATTTAAATTATAATAGGTATTTTCCACAAGAAACTGTTCTTTGCGGCATTCTACTAATATTTTTTCACATATTTGGAAATGGAAAATAATTTTTTCCAAGTTTTTGATGCCATAATATAATATTGACATCCCTTTACGGAAAGTAGCAAGTGCGAAGAACAAACCAAACATGATTGGCTCACATGTGTTACAAGTACACAAAGTAATAACCACGTTCACCACGAACCATTAATAAATTTAGCATTGAGCATATAATAATAATATATTTATATTATTTAATTAAGTTGTCATAAAATCGGTATATTGACATCAATAACTAAAAAAAGCGCCATCAGCTCTTTTATGACGGTCTTAGAAGCTGCTGTTAACTGATAAGGCCAAGTCTATAAACATTGATTTGTTATCAGGTGTGCAATTTAATATGAAATTGTATTCAACGTTTTTTAATATCAACTTCAAACATGATAAGTGATAACCGTTTTGATTTTCAGTTGTTAACCGCCGTCTGGTTACGTTTTGACACGATTAATTGTTTTTTGTTTTTTAAAACTTTAAAGTAGAAATTAGAATCTAGTTTACCCATTTGATTTGTGTAAATTAAGGAAATAGTGTTTTTTAGCTGCGCTATAATGGCTGTGTAAATAATTCACTGCATATTATATCACTGATTAATCTCCGGTGTATCTACCGCTAGTCTTTTAGATTATAAATTATAACTTAAATTATAGCTATGGAAAAAACAGAGTTTGATGTGGATGATGCTGATGGATTTGACGAAGATTTAATTTCCGAAGACTCGATTGAAGAAGACTCAAAAGTCGATTTACTAACTAAAAGCGTTTCGAGTGAACTGTGTTGTGGATGCAATTGTATTCGTATGTTTGACCAAGAATTCAAAAAACGTCTTTTAATAGAAATGTCTCGGTTGAGCGACTCGGAAAAACGGATTTACTTATTTGCATTAATATCCCTAAAAGAACAGAAGAAGTTTAACTCTGTCAAACCAAAGCCAACTAAGGTTTTCCAATACTCGATTAAAGAGTATGGTGTTACACGCGTCATTTGTAAAAATTCATTTATTACTCTTCATGGAACGACAATAGCATTAGTACGAAATTTATGTCATAAAATGAGATCAAACTGCCTATTTCCAACTGATAAGAGAGGAAAACATGAAAAAAGACCTACGATACCTGATAAAATGAAAGAACAAATTAGATTACACTTTTTTTCTATTTTAGACTCGCCTGTAGTGAGTAAAATTAGTATAAACATAATAATTAGTATTACATTTTACATCAATGAATGATTTGTTCTTTATGTAGATATTTTCCTGTGCAAAAAAATTGGGCAAACCAAATGTCAGCAAAATGTGGATGCACTTCATAAAGAATCACGGTAATTGACTTATAATGTACCTAATTAAATAAATATAAATTCATAGTAGACAGTAAGAAAAAAATATTCATGAATAACTGACAAATATAATAATTTACCATTAATACATATTAATGGTCGAAAGGATAAAATGTGTACTGCGTAAGCAAAATTCTTTTGCCTTTAATAAGTTTTTATATTGTAAGTGTTGGCGACACTATTCTACATTGATAGATGTAGCCTAATTATCAATACAATTGTTTTTGGTCTATTTTACAATTGAGGACTTGTAATCTATGATTAATGCCAAACAGTTCATTTTAAATTGCTATTTAAAAAAAAAAACAAAGCTCTTGATAGCTTATGCTATTTATCCAAATATTTTCAACCTTTGGAATTGATCGAGGTAGATTGCGATTTTTTCATGTTATCAATGTTGGATTTTAGTATAGTATTCTGGGCTTTACTTAATTTTTTGGTACTCAGCACGTTACTTATTTTAGGTCCTAAATTTATTATATATTTATGGTTAGTCATAAAAATCCAAACAAATTAATATGAGCGTATCTGCCACAATTTGATTGTTAGACGTTATTGTGTTGCCCACTAAAATACAGGTAAATTAGTAACTAATCTTAAGTGATAAACATTTACAAAAACACATTATACCGGTAGGATAATTTTTGTTTCTTATAATATTCTACCATTTTTTCAGTAAAATATATAATTTTTTGTTTTGTTCATGCTAATTGATTTAATGTATCCCATTCATTATGAAGTCATCATATGTTGGTTACAGAAACACAATCGCCATTACTCAAAAATTATGCTTTATTTCAGGACACATAGCCAGATCTACTTATACCAAATATATTGCATCTCTATTAACTCCTGAAGTTCGTATGAAATACATGTGTGCCAATGAAGCTAAGTTAATCCTACAAGAGTTACAGAAATATAATTACAACTAAAATAATTTATAGTTACTATTATCATTACGTATTGTTTAATTGTTTTATTTGAAAAAAAAAACACCTTTTTGTAACATGATGAATTTGAACGAGATTGACATTATCTAACAATTTATAATTTTATATTTAATTAAAACTGAAACTATTTTGATACATTTGATTTTTTTACGTGTAGGTTAATTAATTTATAATATATTTTAGCACTCTAATTTTTTAAACCTTACTACTTACAGAATAGTATTAAATTCATTCTAATAAAAATCAATATGTTGTATAAACACAACACATTTTGTGTAACAACTGTTTTAGGAGGTTTGGAAGCAATAGTGTTCAAGAGAATTAAGAACTAAGAGAACTAACAAGTTCCGTTGGCATTCACGATTGGTGAAAATTTCCGCCTGAACACTTTAACACGTAATTTTATGAATTTCAAAGTTCTGTCATGTTTTTAGCATATTTGAAATGGTGTAACTACGTTTTGAAATGCTTCAAAATTAATTATGATTTATGAACAAAAGAATTAGGAATTTTAGAAAAAATAGTTATTTTTGTTTCAAGGATGGACTATCTAGAAAAAGTAGGTTTAGAAAAGACTGAATTGTTATCATGTTGCAAAAATTGAACTAAGATGTCTCAAGCAAATCTATTGTAACTTAATTTTTTTGGAATTAAATAAATTAAATAACTTATTTTTTAAATTAAAAAGAAAAAAACCTCGGGGAAAGCAGCAATGGCCCATTGAAGTTAAATTAGAATATCAATAACAATTAAAAGTACCTCTTCAAGATTGAATATTAGTTTTAACTTGCGTTAAATGATAGGATGCAGGATATTATATATAAAAAAAATAATACAATTACTTTTTAAATAAGGTGTTTTCTTTTTACCCGTAATTTTATATATATGTCATAATAATAATAATAAAAAAAAAAAATAGTCTATAAATTATAATTAATATTCCAAATGGTTACTTAGAGGTTTAATAAATGGAAGATTTTCAAAATTACACAACTAAATTAGTAAGTTGGTGTTAAAACACTTAAAAACCCTTTTCTACAACAGTTTATGAGTGAATTTTCAGATAAAATGAACTCAACAAAAATATTGCATGGCCAAGAAAAAGGGCCAATAAGGTAATTTATCGTTTTTATAAATAATTCATTATAAGTATGCAAACAATTTATCGTACAAGTTATGCGTGTCAGTGTAAACGTATTATAGCTATCAACTACAGATAAAATATATTATATTTTTAACCAAGTGATTATATTTTTGGTAACTTTGGTCTCACAACTAGTGGATTATTCTTTTCAATAGAATCACGGCCATTTTTTTGATAATCATAAGTGCAGTTATGGGATTCTGAATACCTAAAAACAGCAAAATTGCCCACGTTAGTATGTTCAAAAATTTTATTGGAATATTTTTTTAAAATTCATAAAGTTGACAAATTATGAAATATTCAAGAGCCAAACCCTTAGTGAACATAATTTTTCAATAATTTTTAACATACCTATGCTCGGGACAAAAATTCAGTCCACATCGGCATGTATATTGTGCGCTTATGGTTAGCTTTTTGTTGCACTGGGCACAGCGTTTTTTCTTCTTTTCTACAGTTTGGTTGTCAGGAAAAGTTTGATTCAATTCCCCGATTACTGTTATAGGAGCCTTTTTCTCTTCTTTATTATTTTCAGGTTCCGAAGACTCGTCGTTATCGTCTAACTGAATTGGCATGTCCGACCTATTTAATATCCTATGTATAGCACCCAAGCCAGTATTGTTAGAAAGAGACATAGCAGCCATTTGTTCAGTCGGTGATGCCTGTCTAGATACATTGATGTGAATGTTGTGTGATAATACCAGCGATGAACTACTAGGACGCCTAGACCAATCTCCACTGGACACCTCGATGTCTGTACCCGATTCAGAAATACTGAAACAAATATATTTATATATTAGTGTTAGAATACTATTATGTGCAAAAATGACTATGATTAACTAGTAACATATTTTTTATATTATATTACTAGTGAATAAATATTAGGGGTGAAGCAAATATATGATTGTGAAAGATTTCTAGTCGTTGCTCTCACCAGACAGGCTTAAAATAGTTGAACAATATTTAAATTATAGGTTTATTACATAAACATAAATAGATAGACCACACTTTGGTTTTTATTTTTTTTCTAGCAGTGTAGTTTTGGACCAATTGCTACATAAAACCACACTTTCTTTTGGTTTATTCGTTATCTAAATGAGTATAATATAAGTCTATGAGGTCCAGCAATGTATGTTTAGTCTAGACTATATTTAAACTGGTGAGCAAAATTATCGTTAAATACTTATTTTAAGTAAGAAGTTTGAATTTAAAGCATTCTTGTAAGAATTATATATTTAATAATTTACTATGTAATACTTACATATCTATTATTTATTTGTACTAACTCGGTTATAACCACAATTTAAGATAACAGCTATAAATAGCTTCAAATTTACTGATAACTTTGACAATATATTCAGTTTAAAATACAGAAACACCTCTTTTCAAGATGAAATCGCACGAGACGGAAAAAAAAACTTTATCAAGCAGTTTTTTTTAAATCTTATTCAGTAAAAATTGTATACAATAATTATGCAAAGCGGATTGGCTGGACCATACACAAATTCAACCTACACAGTTGTCTGGCTTATTCAAGGTCTGCCTAAGCTATGTTTCACTGTAATATATTTAAAAGTTGAGACACTGGATTGTGTAAGGCTCGCTTCACACTTAATGCGTACGGTAGACACATTTTTTTACAACTGCATACAAATTTGGGACTAACAATCAGTTTGTGTATCATATACAGATGTAAAATGTTGTATTTGAATAATGTATTTTTATCCCCAGGAATAAAAACGCGCAGATGTAAAACGGAACTAACATTTGCCATTTGAGTTTGGAAATATCATGCATAACACTAAGACTCGTTGAAACATATATTTTCTAATTGTGGTTATACCAATTACGCAAATAATTTCTTTAGGAGTATTAATATGAATGTTTTTAGCTTTGAGGGGAATCTAAAATTTGAGTGGACATTTTCGTGTCACCAAAATATGTTATGGAAATGTAATAACCTAGTTAATATTTGATTTATTTACTAGTTTACTCAATTTCATTCAGTAGTGTTGTATTGCATTTTTGTTTTTCACAATGAAAATAAATGTTTACAGTAATATCATTAAGTATTGTATTGTATCATAATATTCATGTTAAAACATTTAAATTTTACTTGTAATACTAAAACCATATACATGTTTTTTTTTGCGGAGCAGAGAAAAAATCTTAATATTCTTAATAATTTATTTCTACACACAATAAACAGGGCTTATGGGAAATTATTTTATTTTATGAATTATAGAACTTTAAATACCTGTCAATGCTTGAAGTGCTACCAGTGTGTCTAGGATCGTTCATAAAATGGCAAAGTTGTCTAGTTGAAGTCGATTTAGTATTTTTTTCAGAGCATGCACTAGCAATTGTCGGTAAAACTGGTATTCGGGAGAATTCGGCACTACGTACATATTTCTCTAGACCCGTTGATGGTTGAACAATCTTAGGTAATCTCCAAGTATGACGTTTACTATTATCTTTTTCAGTCTTCATTTGTGATCTTTCACAAGATGTAGTAGATTTTCGGTGATCAGATTTTGTTCTCTTCAACTAGAAAAAAACAATTTTATATATAATTAAAAATAAATTTCATTGTTTGTGAAAATATAACACGATTATATTATTTATACCTGGTTACTAACAAAACTAAATTTTTAATTTTCTAATTTAATCAGATCAGATTTTAAAAAATATAATTACATATTATAAATGGTTATTTTAAACTATTCAAATGTTACGGTAACCTAAGTTTTATAATAATTTTTTAATTTTTTATTTTAAGCACTTAAAATAAAATAACATTTTAAAAATATTTTTTTATACTTTTAAAATTAAGTGATAATAACAAATTGGTACTTTTAAGCATTTAATATAACATTTATACTTTTGTATTTATATTTAAATATTTAAGTCATAAAATAAGTAAAATGTATTATTAGGATAAATAATATGGATATCATTCTTCTTCACCTTATTCCATACAAATTGTGTAATTCAACAAAATATTTTTACTCCACAATTGTTTAGTTAAACTATATCCATAAACTTATTCATTTCACCTATCCACTTCAATCTATCTAACCTAAGTTAGGTAGCCAATTATTGTTTTATTTTTCTTCCTTATTCAAAAATACTCAAATCATCTAAAACTATTCTCTCCCACTTTTCCTGCTATTAGGGCAACTGTCAAATAACTCTTATGTACTTAAATAAATAGTAAATGTTCTAAATTGACATATTTTTTTGTTAGATTCTTGGCGTAGTGTTTGGTGAACAGAATTACTTGCTAAATTGTGTATACACCATACATAAAACATAAATGATTTAAAAAAAAATCTGTTCTCTAGTTATTAAATCATTAAATTGTATTTACTTTCGATTTTGATGATATAGAAAGTGATTCTAATTTATTTTTCAACTGCATCATTTTACGATATGTCACATTATTGTCAACAGATTGTTTAGATTTTTTCTTCTCTGGTTGTTCTACAGTAGATATTTTTCTAAAAAAAATTATGTTTTCCTAAGTTTTAAACATTATTATTATATTTAAATTAATAGTAACAAACCTGGGGGATTCTTTTAAATTCGTAATAGAACCATCACTATTTTCAATTACTCTTAGCAAGTTGATGACTTCACCTTCACGGAATATCAAAACTGCAAGCTTACTTCCTGGAGGCGCGTCATCCAATATTTCTTTTCTAAAAATAAAAAAAGTAAGAGTTTTAGAACAATGACCACTGTGGCTACAATGATTTCCTAATTAACATATTTGAATACAAATATAAGCCCAAGGGTATCAATAGAATAATTTTTAAGTGATGAGAAAAACACAATTAAAAATCAGTCTTTATAATAAAATTAGTAGGTAATAGGAAACTCGAGCACAGTACAACCATTTAAAAGCTTAATAGAATAATGTACAAATAACCTGTTTGAAATCCAAGATATTGCTATTAAACAAAGAGGTGTCTAGCACTGCTAGACCCAATAAACCCACTCTACGCACTTGGTTATTGATGAATACTGACGACAATGTCGTTTGATGGCTGTCTGCAGTGGAATGAGATCTAGGCGAAAAGTAGCGTGGGGATGCGCGAGATGGATCGGATTTTGTCATACTTCAATGCCATTTTTTTATCAGACCAAGTATAAGCATGTAATTATTGGAATTAAAAATAATAAACAACTTAATACATAACCTGGTTCACACTAAAGACAACATGGCAACTTGTGTAACATAATATTATATTGCTGTCTATTAGTTTCCGATTTTCAATGAAAAGCGATACAAGTAGCAACTAATTAGAGTTCCCTTCGAACACAACAGGCTTAATAATCAAGATATAAGTATCAGACAGTTCCTTAATCTCTCGTATTAAATAACACTTGAATATGAATAATGTGTTAAATATTTAAATCTACAGTATGTTCATATTCCATCTCTTGAGTATTGCAAACAAATTTGTTTAAAAAATAATAATCAATATAATATAATAATATATAGTTTGGATAAAAAGATTATTTATTTAAACATATCACCATCAACCAAAGGTTGCTTCAAATTTAATCAAAATTCAGAAACATATTTAAATTGTAAACAGAGGTGTGGCACCGTGTAAAAAAATACATTGTTTACGTAATATTATTTATTTAAGTTATGTTACTTCATATTACCTACTTTTAAAGATGAAGTTTGTTAGATATTATTGTGTTTACATTATGTGCAACAATATTCAAATAAATTATGCTCGCATTTACCTGTTAAGATCAACCAATTGTCTAATGGTTTCATTATCAAGGGGTAACATTCTTCGACTAGTCCCGATTGGACCACCTTGTAGGGATAGCACCAGTCGCAATGTTGCTCCATTATAAATATTATTATGAGCTATAGTTGTATTGTCAGATAAGATTTTCTCCCCCAAGAGTAAATGTTGCTGACTGACTGGGATTCCTATTATAAATGAATAATTAAGTAATCAACGCAAGATGGTTCTAGAAAAATTATGAAACTTACCTTCAACTCGTTGTATTCGAGCCTTCAGCGAACTAATATAATCGGCTGGAGACACGCTAATTTCAAAAGCTGTACCCGTCAACGTCTCAATGGTAAGAGATATGGGCGATTCTTCAAAAGCATCGTCATCAGATTTTGATCTCCATTTTTGCTTACGTGACATACCTGAGTAAATTCTCTAGGTATTTAGTACTATTGAAATTGGTCTTCAAGCATATTATCAATAAGAAACCATTAATGCACCTGCAATATTACACATAATGAATAATAATGCTGCGATGATGGTATAGTATTATTGTTAATGTTGCCATTTATGGTGTAACAAAGTCCACACACACATAATATAAATATGTATATAGGTATATACACGTTAATACGCCCAGACTATTGATATCTAATGACCTTTATGTCCCAAGTCGACAAATAAATGCCAACCGTTGGGTTGTTTAGGCAAACACGAACGGGCGATGTTAGTTTTGGCATTTTCATTACGTATAAATGCAATACAATTATATAACATAAACAGCTTACTTGTACACTCAATAAGAGACGGATTAGGAACTAATGAATAACGGCGAACGGCGTTATTTCGTCGTGTGTCGACCTGTGTAGCCCAAGAACAATAACTTAGTATGGCGAACGACTTAGATACGGAAATAAAATTTCGCTGTAGGTGATCGAACTAATGATAATTCATTATTTTTCTAAATAAAAATAGACATAACAAAAACGATAAAGCCAACAAGGACGTGTGTCATTACCCATTAAGTGTTGGACGAGAAGAGGAGGATAAGAAGAGGGGCCGGAGCGGAAGTGTTGGAGATAATAAATTATGGCGAAAATGTATGTAACGCGTAACGACAACAACCGATGACACACGAAGCCCGAATGGGAATTGGGAAGACGTGACTCGTCAGAGGTAATGTCATACAAAAAGTACAACTGATATTATCATCGTGGTTTTTTTTTTTGTACTTATTCCAAATGATGATTTACACCTTTTTTTTTAATTTGCCGAAAAAAACATTTTCCATGACGAATATTGTTTTTAATAAAAATCATTAAACAATAACTACGCATCGTTTAGTTATGAAAAAAACACTCAACGTGGGAGCAATGAACACCTTGTTTAAACAAACAGGTACGTCAACAACTTTTGTTATCAATTTTCACAATATGGCTACCGGCTTACACGCCCTTTGGATTATACGGCCTAAGCAAACCAGCAGCCATTTTGTGGTTACCATAAGTTGATGACGTAGGGCACAAGCACGATGTAGAGAAGATAAGGTGACACCACTCAACTTCTTATCAGTAAAAATCTGGGGTCGAATGCTTCAGGCATTTTGGTAGTTCAGCTTCGCTGTACAGGCGGCGCCACCATTCGCCCGGAGGCCGATATTTTCTATGCAGCTTATGGACGATAAACGTTTTATTTTTAATTTTTATGTTAATTATTCTTTATTTGGAGTATTTATTATTTTTATTGTCTTATTTAATAATAAGTAATTATTTTGTTAACTTTTTAATTGCAAAAACTGTGTTTTTTAACGGCATTAAAGTAAATATTAGCACTGGAATATAGCTTTCATAATTAATTAAATTAAATTCATTCTGATCTAGTCTTTGTCCAGAAAAGTTATTTATTTTATTATTTTAGCTACTCTACTAATATTATGTAGTATTCCAATACTAATTAGTCATTAGTATACATGGTCATAATTTCTAGTTCAGAGTAATAGAATAAAACTAGAGTAGAGCAAATATTGCCAATAAATCCAAAAGATCTACATTAGTCAATGAATGTTATTTGTAAAAATGAATAAGAACAATTTAATAAGAACATTTTATAATTATATATGCCGCGGTTTATTATGTAGACACAAAATATAAACAATTATTTGTGATGCAAATATCATCTCTAGGAACACAATGTAGAGAATATGTCTCTACTTCGTCCCTAGGCATTGCACGTATGGTTGGGCTTGAATTACACGGTAGTCGGGCTTTCGAAGACATATAATATAATAATTGGGGTTTATTAAAGTAATTAATATCCACCTTACACAAGCGATGCTTATTTTTCGGGGGTAAATTAAAATAATCGGAAAAAATGTATTTATTGTTATGTACAGTGATGTACTAACAGGGGGGTTCGGGTTCAAACCCCCAAAGCCAAAAAAAAAATTGTGTTTTAAGTAATATATTTTAGGCATTTGTTATATAATTGTTACAATGTTACTCTCTGAAGTAATTTAGAACTTGAAGTAAATAAATAATAATTTAACAATTATATTTTAATTATTAAGTGTTAAGGGGAATTGCGGCTACCTAAGTAAGAATTAAAATATCTTCGGAACTATAAGTCCAGAAATTTCGTTACTTCTTGGAATCGTACTATCGAGTTATTTTTCGAAAATAATATTCCAACTTAATTGATAATAATTAACCATATCCAGTTATGTAATATTATTTTTTTACACCCCCCCCTCCCCCCCAGAGCAAGATTTAATGTACGCCACTGGTTATGTAAAAGCGTGCTAAAGTGTGTTCACTCAAATGGATAAGGCTCCGTTTATTAAGTCAGAGGCATTATTATAAATTTTTTTAAATAACTCTCCGATCCCTGTTTTAATATACCCTACTTTATAAGTCCCTTTAGTTACCATAGAATAAGCTTTATCTTGTAAAAATGTCTAGTTTCACGTATGGTTTTAAAGGAAACTACATTTTTTTAAAGACATTTTCGTTATTCTTTATAACAAATTATTCTTAGACCTTCAACAACTATAAACTCAATTTGAAAAAACTTCTCTGGTGCTTAAAATTCGATATAGGAGGGGGTGGGAGGGGTTGAGGACAATTTTTTCTTGTACATAATACGTGTTATTAATTATTATATTATATATCGTATAGAATAATTTCATATATATTGTTATAAAAGGATGGTCATCGTTCGACTATAAACGTCTTTTGTGGAATATACGAATATTGTGGTTTTTTAAATAATATATAATCTATAGTCCTGTAATAAAATAAAATTACATGTAATATATTTATATTTAGCAATAAAAATGACAGTAACGTATAATAATATGTAAAAAAACCCTATTAGCTTCAAGTAAAAGTCGGCCTCCGGGCGAATGGTGGCGCTATCTACGTGACAAAATTGTACTACCAAAATGCCGTAATTTGGTTGGAGTGGCATCACCTTATCTTTTCTACATCGTGGACACAAGGCAAGGGAGCACGACACGGCTCCAAGGCAGTTAGCCGAAAAATGATAATCGATTTTATCACGCACTAGCACCAACGTCACAAAAAAAAATATTCGAATATTTAAAATCCTTATCAATAGACTTAAATTGTATTGATGATAATGAATTTGTATTGCTGATAGACGATAGTGAATGATAAACAACTGTATTTTGTTATACACGTGCTATTTGGATAGATACTTCTTTTAAAATTTGTATTTACTATTTTGTCTTGTGAAGTAAATAATAATAAACCACACGTGAGTAAAAACAAGTCGTTATAACTATACAATATTTTAATAAGCTTTTATAAATGTTTATTTTGATATCTATAGTATGATATTATATGAAACTATCAATTTTTTAAGTTCTGTATGCCAATATCTTTTCTTTTTAAATATTGCTGAATTTGTGTATATGCTTGTACATCTACCTAATTATTATACTGCAGTTAAAATTCATGTATTAATTCATTGCATTAATGATATACTGTATATTCTTGCAGTTAATTCTTAATCTTAATTACAATTTTAGCATGAACTTATTTGAGTTCGGCAAAACCTAATTACTGAACACACCTATTTAACAAGTATTTATATGCTTTGACATCTGTATAATTAATTATGTACATTTTTGCCATAACTTATTTATTTCCATGACGAAAACCAATAAATTTGATCATTTTTACAAAGAGTTGGTTTAGTTTTTTCCTCCACAAAAAGTTTTATTTTTCTAAGCAAATAGTGAAAAATATTAATGTTTTTTTATTTGGTAGAACTGCAAACATTAGTATGTGATTTAAATGTTGAAATATACTAGTTTTTATGGCATAACAAAACATACTATCTTTTGGAAAAAAATGAAATGTATCCCTTTATGTTACGGAAGTAGATATATTTCCTTATATTTATTTAACATTTTGCCGCATACAGTGGGAAACTGTTTTTAAAAGATCTAGAATTTCTTACTTACTCTTATCAATTTTTTGTTTGTAATTTATTGTTTTTAACTAATTGTATTTTATATCACATACTATATTATAGTTTCTATAATGAGCATTATGAAATGGGATATAGTTAAAACTATTGGCGAAGACGAAGAAGTCGAAGATGTTTCATCAGACTCTGATATTGAAATTGAAGTAATTTTTTTTATAGATAATTTTTTTGGAATTAAACTAAAAATGTATGTTTATAGTATCAACCAAAAAAACACAAGACAAAAGGGGATTCATACTTTGATGACGAATTCAAATTCTTATCTACACCTTCAGATTACAATCATGACACATGGGATGATTTACAGAAATATATAAAACGAAAGGGAACAACTAATAGAGTTGACGAAAAAATTGAAAAATCTCGTAGATACGTCAAGTCATTTGTAAGTATAAACATTTGAAATAACCCAGGTTTTTTTTTAAAAATCCCAACCAAGCTCCGTTTTTTAGGGATATAGAAACAAACCTATAATTTTAGGTAAATAAAATGTACTAATATAACTTAATAAGTCTAACTAAAACCTGTATAATTTAACTAGTACTGTATGTAAACATAGGTCGTTATTATTTAAAAAAATAATTAAGTGTAAATATTTAGTATAACTGTAAGTTAGTTGACTAATTGTTGTCAAAAAAAGTTATAAAAAAAAAAAAAAAAAAAAAGGTAAATAAAAAACTGTTGTCTGTACTTTGTAACAAACAAATTTCACTGGGTTATTTATTGCAAACTCTAATTATGAAGCTTACAGCTTAAGGTATAAATGGCAAGTGCTTATGAAAACCGTAAAACTTTATCCTATGTAGCATTTATCTTCTTTAATGTAACAAACATTGTAAAATGTTTATAGTTACCTGATGTCTCTGCTGAAGAACATGAAGAGTACAATGAAGAATCCGACTCAAATTCATTATCAGAAGACGAACTAAAAAAAGGTAGTCTTAAAATTTATTTTGAAAAATGTATTTGAATTTAACATTTACTCAATAGATGGTTCTATACAATACACGGGATTTAAAAAAAAATTATAATTGGTTAAAAAAACCTTAAAATAGAACCTATTTATTTGGGTAACTGGAACTTTTATTTTCTGTTAACAACAACCATTTTATATCTAATGTATATTTATTTATTTTTTAGATGGTCTTAGAGATAGACAAAAGCTAGTCGGTAAAAGAAATAAAAAAAAGAAAATTGAAACTAATGACGACAATAAGAACGAAATAACTGTTGATGATGATGGCGAATTTTTTGAGGACGCTCCTCCATACGAAGAAAATGCTTCATTTTACCAAATGAATATATCCAGGCCGTTAATGAAAGCTATAAGTGTTATAAACTATGTCCATCCAACCCCTATACAAGCGGCTGCAATACCCGTAGCTTTGTTGGGAAGAGATATTTGCGGTTGTGCCGCCACTGGTACTGGTAAAACAGCAGCTTACATGTTGCCTATTTTAGAAAGACTTCTTTATAGACCAAAAGGATTTACTCCTATTACTAGGTAATAAATATCACAGAAGTTTCTCGAACAATAATTTATATTTTTTGTACAAAAAATAGAGTACTTGTATTGGTGCCAACTCGAGAACTTGGTGTTCAGGTTTATCAAGTCGCTAAACAACTTGCTCAGTTTACTACAGTTGAAGTTGGTCTTTCTGTTGGCGGCTTGGAACTCAAAGTTCAAGTAAGACAGATGTGACTTATACAAATTGTTTAATTTTTTTTATATTGATTTTATTGTATGAATTATTAGGAATCCATATTAAGAAAAAACCCAGATATTGTTATAGCCACTCCAGGGCGTTTACTCGATCATTTACAAAATACGCCATCATTTTCATTATCCGACTTGGAAGTATTAGTGTTGGACGAAGCTGATAGAATGTTGGATGAAAATTTTGCAGATCAAATGAAAGAAATCATCAATATGTGTGCTAAAACCAGACAAACAATGTTATTTTCAGCTACTATGACAGACGCAGTTAACGATCTTGCTTCTGTATCATTAAATAAACCAGTTAAAATATTTGTTGATAGTAATACAGATGTCGCGTTTAATTTAAGACAAGAATTTGTCAGGTAATATCATCATGTTAAACTTGATAAACAATTAAGTATAATGTCTTAATAAATTCAATATATTTAGATTACGTCAGGGGAAGGAACAGGATCGAGATGCGACACTAGCTGCTTTAGTTTGCCGAACGTTCAGAGATCATACTATGATATTTGTTCGAACCAAAGCAGATGCACACAGGGTAAAAATTTTGCTGGGCCTCTTTGGACTTAAGGTAATTAAATATGTACATACATATATACAAGGTGATCAACTTATTGTGTTCCACTCAATATCTCGCTGGGTTTAATAAGAAATTAAATTCTTTCTTTACCTAGTGTTTTTATGCAATGTGATCTCAATTTTTCACCATTTTTTTTGTTTTTACCCCCTCCCAACTTAGTTTTTTTGATAGCAACTTTTGAAACTTAAATGGTAATGCATACATTTCATTAACTTTTTAAATTGAGAATAATGTACTAAAAATGTTGACTTGTCGGTAATCAGTTTTGGATAGCTATTTTTGAAGTTATTGAAGTTTCATGTTCAGGGCAGGAGGAAAAGTTGTGCGTAGTATTATTTTTATCTGCGCCCATTACCCAACCGCACTTCCCTTCCAATCCTAACTTTTAAACTCTTATAACTTTAAAAATAGTTATCCAAAACTGGTTATCAAAATTACATTTGGCATGTTCCTGTAACTACACATTTGAGACAACTGTCACAAAAAGTAACACATTTCAAAGTTTCCCTTTAACATTTTTTTCTCTGGTAAGCTGTAAAACATGTAGTCTTGCATGTGAAAACTGTAAAATCTGCTATCTTGCTGCAGTTATTGTAATGTCATATTTTTTCTTCATAACATAAGCTAATGTGAAGGGTATTGATGTATACACAGCAAAATGTACAATTAGATAATAATATATTAAAATTAAGGTGGGTGAACTTCATGGAAATTTATCTCAACCTCAAAGATTAGAAGCCTTACGAAAGTTCAAAGACGAAGAACTCGATTTATTGATTGCTACCGATGTAGCCGCTCGTGGATTAGACATTCGAGGTGTAAAAGCCGTAAGTTAAATAATTATTTATTCTGTTTTTTTTTTATATATTTAATTTTTTCCACTACAAATTTAGGTTATTAATTATACTATGCCACCAACTGTAGAACATTATATTCATCGTGTTGGTAGAACGGCCAGAGCTGGTCGATCAGGTGTATCGGTTTCTATAGCGAGTGAAATAGACAGGAAAGTTTTGAAAGAAGTCATTAAAAAAGCCAAAAATCCAGTAAAACATCGTGTGATCCCCATTGGTTGGTATTATTGAATTTATATTATATAATAATATACTTTACTTAAAAAATTTACTGTTAAAATATTTTACTTATTTGTTTTTTTATATTATTTTAGAAATTCTAGATAAGTACAAAGAACGGGTAGATTCACTTCGTAATGAAGTTAAATGTATCATGCACGAGGAATATGAAGAACGACAAATGAGTCGAACAGAAGAGTTTGCTGATAAAACTGAAAAAATGGCAAAAACAAGTATTAGTAGTCTAGTTAAAAAAAAAGACGAGACTAAAAGAGAATGGTTTCAAACACAAAAAGAGCGACAAGAAGCTAAAAGTAATACAACCAGTGATAGCTTATTAATTTCAGTTACACAAATTACAGATTTTTAATACACATATAAAGTTAAATAGAGGAAAATACTTAAATTATTCTTTGTTTAAGTATGTGATGATGAATTTGGCTATTGAGATGAAATGTTCACTCTAAAAAAAGTTACAAAAAAAATGAAATGGTGTATTTTCATTAGTGTTTAAAAAAAACTTGATGACGATTAAACCTTTTTTTGGAATTTTCTATTTTGCGGTATCAGTCACACCATTTAGAGCACGGATAATTTTGTCATTTATATTATGTATGAATTTCTTTCCTTAACTGTAAATGAAGCCTGAGAAAAATTAATTTGTGTAAAACTCAACTCAACATATTTTTTTTATTCAAACCATTTTTATCAAATATTATAAACAAAGTTAAATAAAAAATATATAAAACTATTGTAGTTCTACACCATGATTTTTGTGACATATAGTTTAAAAAGTTGATTATTTTATTGTTTTTTTTTTTTAGAATAATATACTACTTACTCTAAATCATTGACTTGATTTTTATCAATATTTAAAGAATTTTAAGTTTATGGTAGGTAGTTGCTTTTGTTGGGTGTGTCTTTTTAACCAAATTAAGTTGTTTAAAAATTTAAATACTATAAAAAAAAAGATAAATTTTTTTTGTGATAACTTGGAATTAGTGATAACAAACTTAACTGAAATATTTATCGAAAACGACCATTTGTTTTGACTGTTAATTTTGTTATGGGGGCATTGTTGTTCGTGTGCTAAAGTCAACATTTTAAAAATCTCGTTAGCCACCGATAAACAACATTATTGCTATCAGATGTGATACGCGTATGCATTTTAGATCTTTAGTCTTTTAGAATTACGCATTCCAATATTTCTTGTACATTAAATAAAAACGCAAAATGTTCTTCTAAGAATTATTGTCAGAAAATAAAAAAAAAATACTTGGGAAAAATAACGTAAATGTATTTGATTGAAATGTAAGGTGTTATATGTTAGTATGTTATACAAAATTATTAAACAATAAGTATTATATTAACTAATTTTAACGCTTAAAATTTAATCAATTTGTTATTATTCAATATGTTTAAGAGAGATCCAGGGAAGCTTTTTCTGCTAAAATTGAAAAAAACATTAAAAAAAAAAAGAAAAACAATGTAGAAGGTAACAATGATGAAGAAGACATTGAAAATGAAAAAAAATTACAAAGAGTTGCTAATTTCCAAGCTAGAAGTGCTAAAAACAAAATGAAACCTAAAAAAATGAATGCTATCACAGATTTTGGTCAAGGTTTGTGTCGAGATTTATTTTTCAAAACTGTTGATACCTAAATAATTGTTTTTCTCATATTACAGGCAAGTTTAATTCAAATCCACAATCTGGTAAAAAGCAGAAAGGATCTGTTTTTGATTCTCAATTTACTGATGTAAGCAAATCTGGCGCAAAGAAGTATAGATATGAGTAAGTTTAACAATAATAGCTATACCTTAATATTTTAGTATTATCATTAATTATGTATATTATCGAAGTACTATACACGTATTATACAAATTCTGTAGCGCTAAAAAAGAGAATAAGTCGAAATTTCGATTTTCGGTCTAAGTGTGTGAAACATATTATGTATATTAAATTAAAAGAATATTCTCTCAACCATATTTTATGATTTGAGATTATGACATGAGCAATTTTTGTCTCTAACAAAGCATACTCATCTGATCAAAAAGAAATATAAACCTAACCTAACAACATAAATTTATGACAAGTATTATGTCATTTTCTTAATGACTTTTTTAATATATTAAATATTAACGTTTTTAAACTTGTATTATCTGTTTTAATAGAGCCAACCAAGCAAAAAGAATGATGGCATCTAAAAAAAAAACGCTAGTAAACAAAGGAAAAACACCAATTAAAAAAGGGAAGCCAACAAATTTTAAAAAAGGAAAATCAAAGTGGTGACAGTTTAATTGATTCTATTTATTTTAACTCATTTGAATATCAAAATTACAAAAGAACTATATATTTTGTTTTTATTTTTGTTACATTTTTATGTTGTTCGTTTACCGAGTGCTTGCTGGTCGTGACAATCGCCGGCAAGCGACAACTGACATTATCCACGGCCTGTCCACCGGCAGTGCACAGTGGTCTGAAATTTACAATAAGATATATTTTAGGCATTGATATATAATTAATTATTGTTTATTTTTTTTTTTTTTTTGTAAAAACACCAAACGGAAATTATGTAGGTAAACACAAATACAAAACAAATATATGTAACAACTAGTAATAAAATGAAAAGTGAATGTACAACAAACTATATTAAATCTAAACAAGTATCTTAAACTAAACATGAATCATTAAGGCAAAAAATATGAGGGAGCATTGTTGTAACTTTGACATACCTTATACCTTATACATATGGTACAAATACACACCTCTATTTAAATAAAATGTACAAAGAAAGCAATTTATATTTTATTAAAAAATATTATTTAACATTTGTTTACTGTAAATTTGAGGTCAAATTTGAACTAGGTGACCTCAAAAACTTATGAATCGATATGTAACATAGATAATTGTACAAAACTACGAAAACCCCCTTTATGTCCCCTAAATTAGGTATAATTGAGGTCAAATTTGAACTCTGCAACCTTGAAAACATATAAATCGACTGCTTTCTTACTATTTTAAACTAAAATCCAGCTTATATCACATTTTATCGTCTTTATTCGATTTAATTAATTAATACATCTTCGTGCCCCCAAGTTTCTGCAGCTGAAACCTGATAACATAATTTAATATATTTTAGTATAGTTTTCATAAGTTCCTCTGATTTATATGCTTTTTTTTTTGTAGTAAACTTATAATTACGGTTTTGGTATAATTAATATTGCTCTATAAAAATATATTTGAAAAAAATGTAAGTGAATATTTGTTAACAAGTTAACTTGAAATAATGTTTAAAAAAAAGGTTGGGTAGTTTAATGAATATCCAAGTTAGCCTATTTTATAACAGGTAAATAGAAAACCTGAAGTACTGAAATTTAAATAATAATTAGTGATAAAATATTTAAAAATACATCAAGTATTAAGAAATATATTTTTAAGTAGACATTTTGTTGTTATTGTATGGTAAAAATTTCAGTTTCCTAAGTCTAACTTGAAAAATTGATTTTCGATCGCGCTTTTTGTATTTCACACCGCCGTTTTATGTCATCAAGTTCTTTGAGCACGTTTAAGAGGCGGGTTCCCAGTACTTGGATGTCCATCTGGCCGGCCCTGGATTGCACTTGGGTGTGTGTGTACATGGTGTCCCCGGCATTTGTGACAGACAATGGCGTGTCGCTGGCCAACGCCATTTTCACACCTTTGGCCATCAAGCCATCCATCTTAGACACCCCGCGAAGGTCCAACCCTTGTAACCAACTGGTCACCGTAAACTTGCGTCCGAGACTCCTTAGCCGTCTGTCGTCGGACGACGCGGCTGCCGCCGTCGACCGCACTTCAGGCAACAACGGCTCCCTGTCCGACACCATTTTCAAGAGGCTGTTTAATACATACTTGGCTTTGGCCACCACCGCGTCGTCTAGCGACACCTTGTCGCCGTCTCTGACACCCGGTGAATCATTGAACGCTTTGATTGCGGCGTACAAGTTCTGGATGGCCGCTTTTACATTGATTGTCTCTGATCCGCAGTCCGGTGCATCGGACGGTACCGTCGTCGCATCGCTGCACGCCACCGTCACCATGACGGTTATCAACCAAATAGCGGACCTGGCATCGATTGCTGCTGTCGTTTTACACTCTGTACTTAACAACATCATGAGGTTTAGTTCATCGAAAAATTCAGCTCGTTACTAGAGAAAACAGTTTTATTTGTATTAAATTGTTTAACATCGAAATTAATCTATAAATCCGTAATTCGTTGCCAATAAACGTTGGTATAAACGGTAATACAAAGTATAAACAAAAAATTGAGTTAGCCGTGTTATATGTAAATTATGTTATGTGGTGATGTGTAAACATCATACTACAGTTTAACGACAAATTATATAAAAATGTTCTTATAAACTTGGTTTTACTATTAATTCGTAAAAGAAAAAAATAAGATTCGAACTTATCATTCATGTGCAAGGACCCGAAAACTAAATATTCTGGCTGTTGTTCTCTATATCTCACCAAACCAACATATTATTTAATTAATAATTGAGTTTTCTTAATTTTGTACTCTCGCCGTTTACGGAAGAGGATTTTGATATTTGATTGCAATCCCTTTAAGCCTTTGGAAATAATCAGTGGAGATTACGCGAGTTTATGCGTTTAGTCTTGTTTCCTCTCGATGCGCGCTTTATTGGTACAATACAAACTAACAATGAAACGAACCACATTTTCTTGTCAGTGTTGTTTTCCAACCAAAATCAAAATCGACTTCTTGAACTATCTATTCCTCTCGACACAACCCTACTAGAAACTCCTAGCCCTCGACGTCCGAACTAGTGATATTTGCGGTATCACCCGTAATTTGAACCTGAGTTACAATAAGCCTTAGGACGAATACGCATAAACACTGTAATATTTTCGATCTCATTTATACAATTAATATACGCGGCTCACCGAGGTAGATAGGTAGTGCGAAAAATGGAGTTGTGTATTTGTTGTTCAAGCAACTAATCAAAATATTCATATCCCAGGCTTTCCCAATGATGTAAACCCAATATTTTTAAGACTAACAGCATCACTGTATGACTTTATCAACTGCTCCTACAGGCTACAAATGTAAAATTTAAATTGTATAAAGAAAACACTACTGTTATTCACTTACAATAAACCACAAGGTATCCATACTATAAAGAAAAATTATACACTTAAAAAACTGAAATAAGATGACAGGAAAAGATTGTTGCATGCACTAAAAATAAGTAAAATAATTTTTAGTGCATAAATTTACAAAATATTTTAGTCGTTAATGTTTGCTGACTTTTGCATCATCTAAATTTAAAAATGACTAACATAATACATTTAAATAATATTATTATAGGTTTATTGAATTGTATAACATTATATTTGAATAATCATTAATTATTATTTTTTAATTATTCACTCACTTTTTAAATTTGTTTTATTCAGATATATATCGAAACTGTGCCATTTGCGCTATATCATAAGGCAACCCAAAGTACAGAAAGTTTACCACTGGTAAACTGTCATCTTTTTTTTCTCTAACATATATAATAAATTTTGTTTTATTTTATAAAAACTGAAAGCAAAAATAATGTTTAGTATAAAAATGTATAAGTATATTAAGAGCTATTTAACAATATCAAAAATCTTGATAAATAAGTCAGTGTATATTTTAAACACAACAAAATAAATCTAATACTAAAATACTACATTTTTAATTACAATGGATAAATAACGGGTTTGTTGTACATTACAGTTGTTTTATTTATTTTCTTGTTAATTAGCGCCAAGAACTGAATGAGCTTCCTCTGTAAAAAAAAAAGTAAAACAAATTATAAACATACATTTAACATTTCACACCAAAAAAAAATCTAAGGACTAAAATATAAAACCAAAAATTTGCAATTATTTAAATAAAAAAATAGACATATTAGAACAGGAGTTGGCAATTCGTTTCTTAGGAGGTCCGGATAATTTTTAAAAAAAAATTTCCGAGGTCCAGAAAACACTTAAGCTGTATTTATTTTTGTATAATAACACAGTATTAACAGTAAAATATTTTGGACGGTCCATTAATTTGCCCTCCGCAATCTGGATTCAGACCGCGGGCAGCCTATTGCCCGCCCCTTGTAGAATGATAAAATAATCACCATGTATTGACATCACATTTTTTTGTTCAAAAGTGATAAATAGTACAAATGGAACTTAAAAAAGAAACTAAATTTTGATCCCATAGGCCAAATATATTCTAAATATTTCGTATAAATGCCTGTAATGAAACAGTTCTTTGTATCATTTTTGTAAAGTGAACATGAACTAGGTATTTCCTGTTTAGAAGGAATTTTTCAATTACTGGATTTATAACATGACAAATAATTTGGTTATGGTTAGTGTCTTTTAATTTAGTTTACTATTAGAATTTAGAAAACCATAGCAATTAGTTCATACATTTATAATTAACTATTGTTGATGGCAATACAGTTAATGCAGCAAACTTTATGTATTTGAAGTTTATATTAACTTAAATGTTTCAATAAACATTTTTGTTTAACTATTATTAATTTAAACTTTCAATTTTACCCAAAATGTGCTCCTTGTGGTTTGAATGGACTTGTTTGTTGTTGTTGTGATTGACCAAAAGTAGTAGATGATGGAGATGCGAAACCAGAACTTTGGTTTTGAGGTAAATTTCCGAATGCTGATGTATTATTTTGTGCTGCCAATGATGCAAATGCAGTTGATGGCTGTTGGGCGGCAGAAGCAAAACCGAATGTTCCAGCTAATAAAATAAAATCCAACAATAATTTGTAATTCATAAAATATGAAATTTTATTATAAATTTAAGACATATATCTTTATAATATTACACCATTAAGTTATAACATTTGCAATTTTAAAAGTACATGTTTATTTACTTAATCTATTATTCTCAAAAAAAAAAAAAAAAATTGTCAATGTAAATATGCTTCAATTTTAAAAAAATTGATGTCATAGCAAACCAGTTCATATTTTAAGTGAAAGTTTCTAAAACTTGAATTAGACTCAACTAAACATAACATTAATAAAAAGATTTAAAAAATAAAAAATTACAGTTATTAGTAATATTACATACATTCTGGTAAACTGGTAGTTTGGCCAAATGTATACTGTGATGGGGCAGTTGAACCAAATGTTGCTGCTCCACCAAATACAGGCGCTTGACCAAACGCAGACGGACTTGAAAAATTAGAACCTGTATATAAATATAAAAAGAAATTACAAACAATAATATTTTTGGTATTAACAGTATAATATGAACCTGGTTGTTGTTGACCAAAAGTAGATACAGATGAAAACCCTGTATTTTGGTTTTGTGGTAAATTGCCAAATGCTGGTGTGTTATTTTGTGCAGCCAATGATGCAAATGCAGTTGATGGTTGTTGAGTAGCAGCACCAAACCCGAATGTTCCGGCTGCAAAAAAAATTTAAAAAATTCAAAACCACTAATCAATTGCAGACTTACAACTTAGTATTACAGAGTTCAGCTATCATTAAATTTAGATATACAGTTTTTGTAGTCTTTAAGCAGTGACTATTAGAATTTATCATAGTTTGTGTATGCTATACGTCACTTTCTATCACAGTACTTGCCACATTTAATTATTAACATATTTTATCTAATCTAACCTATCACCAATGATGGATTCGTAATAAAATATTTTTAAAAAAAGGACTAATTTATAATGGGGAAATACAGGGAACACAGAATTGCGTGTGAAAAAAAAAACAATACTTTGGTATATGGTCGATTCAAGAACTTTAATATGTTCTTAACTTTAAAAGTATTTAAAGCAAAAGTGAACTGATTGGAATTTGAAATAATATTACATACATTCTGGTAGATTAGTAGACTGGCCAAATGTATTAAACTGAGATGAAGCATTCGAGCCAAATGTCGCTGCTCCCCCAAATACAGGAGCTTGGCCAAATCCTGATGGATTTGAAAACGTAGAGCCTGTAGAAAATAGTACAGATTAGTCAGTTATTTTTTGTTATTATCTAACCGTACAATTTTATACTTACTTCCAAATACTGGAGGCGCTCCAAAACCTAAACTGCTACTGTTTAATGCTGATTCAGGTGAACTAAAACCCAAGGTAGGTTGACCAAATGAAGACGATTGATTAGCTGCTGCAGCAACAGAACCAAATAGTCCACTGGAAGCCGCTGCTGTTGTTGTTGAAGGAGAACCAAAAATAGAGGATGTTTTCCTTATTTCCATACCGCTAGTATTTTTAGGGGTACCAAAAATTGTTGACGTGGTTGATAAATTTGTTGCAGTTTCAAAATTTGTGTTTGTTGAAGTACTAAATACTGCAAGAGTACTAGTACTCTGAGATGTGTTAAAATTCGAAGGCGCACTGGTTGTATTTACAGAAGAACCAAAAATTGTTGACGTGGTAAGTGAACTTGTAGTACAACTGTTAACAGTACTTGTTGTATTGCCGAATATAGAAGATGAACTAGTATTTACAGATGTATTAAAAATTGAAGGTGTATTGGACATGATTTTAGAGTCACCTCCAAAAATTGTAGATGCTGTTGTTAAACTTGTGGTTGGTCCGAACAATGTACTTGTTGTACTGCCAACAACATCGGATGTATTAAAAACTGATGTATTTTTGGAAGAACCAAAAATTGTCGATGTAGTAGTACTAGTAGTAGTTTCTGTATCTGTAATTTCAACAATCGGTACACTACTTACAGAAGTTAAATCAATAGCAGGAGGGCATTCGTTTTCTGGTGTCGATGGTTCAGATATAATTACGACACTATTTTGTTCAGTATTTGAAAATATTAGAGGTTGAGTTGAAGTATAAGTATCGTCAGTACTCGTTGCTTTACCAAATATTATTGGAGTGCCTGTAGTTTTTGCTGTATTAAAAATAGAAGAGCTACTTGGCGTTGTACTAGCGGGCGAACCAAAAATGTTTGATGTAGAAAGTGAATTTGTAGTGGATCCAACATCTACTGCACTCGTTGTACTACCAAAGATTGTGGGAGTACTAGTACTTTTAATTGTGTTGAAAATCAAAGGCGCGCTAGATGTACTTGCAGCGGGACTAAAAATTGTCGAAGTAGTAACCGAATTTATAGAGATTACATTATTCGTACTTGTTGTATTACCAAATATAACAGGAGAAACAGAAGTTTTAGTTGTGTTGAAAATTGAAGGCGTGCTGGTTGAATTTGTAGACAAACCGAAAATAGTTGACGCAGTGAATGATTTTGCATTTGTTCCGTTAGACGCACCTGTCATACCACCAAAGATTACAGGAGTATTAGCAGTTTTAGATGTGTTAAAAATTGAAGATGTACCCGTTGTATTAATTTTAGAAAAGCCAAAAATAGTTGATGTGCTTGTAGTAGTTCCAGATGCTATACTAGTCGAATTATCAAAGACGGCAGAAGAAGTATTAGTAGTTTTAGATGAATTGAAAATCGAAGTTCCACTGGTCATGTTTTTAGAGGCACAAAAAGTTGCTGGCGCTGTAGTTCCTAGTTCGTTACTTATATTTCCAAACATAGCAAAAGTATTAGCACTAGCAGAAGTATTAAAACTGAAAGGTGCAGTGGATGTATTCATAGAACCGCCAAAAACTGTCGATGCAGTTGACATACATGGAGTGGTCTTAATGTCTGTACTTGTTTTTTTATCAAACATAGGTAAAGTATTAGAACTTTTAGATGTATTTACAATCGAAGGTGTACTAGTTGCGTTATTAGAGATACTAAACATTGTTGAGGTAGTAGATATGTTTGTAGTTTTTAAGCTCATGGTAGTTGTAATAGCATTGACTTTGACAATTGGAACATTGCTTATAGATGAAAATGAATCGACCATATTAGCACATTTATTTTCTGAATTGAGCGGTTGAGATGATATTGTAGCAACGCTAGTTTGTTGTGTATTTGAAAATGTTAAAGGTTTTGTATTTATTGTCAAATCGGGCTTGTTCTTTATCAGCCACTTATTTTCAATCATATTATAGCATGTTAAAAAAGCATATTTAGATTTATTTTTTGTTCTTCTCGTTTTGAAATCTTTTAACCATTCTTGAAGTTTATTGACTTTTGCGTTGGAAAGTGCACGCTGATTGGCTGACAATACAGAGTATTTTTTAGCGACATTATATGAATTAATAGCAGACAAACCATCTTTGTCTAATGTAATTTTTAATAATTGTTCGGATAGTTTAGACAAACCAGTATCCCTAAAAATACAACATAATGAATTTAATTTACAAATAATAAAGTATGTATGCTTCATTTCAAATTACATACCTAGAATCGTTTAATCTTGACGTATTCTGTACAACATCAGGTGCAAGCGATAACTTTTTATACGTTTTATGTTTTACTTCTTCAACATCATCACACAAACAATTAATTTTTTCTTTCAATTTGTTTACTATATTAGTGTTTACTACTAGCGATTTATATATAGTCTCCAAACGAGGTATTTTTAACTCCCTATAAAAGCAATATAAAAATAATATTGTCAGCAATTCGCGCTGGTGTAGTCCTTGGGTATACGCTCTGTGTACCCATATCTAATTTGCCCCTTATCTCTATGTATGCATGAATTCATAACGAAAATTATTTCCCACAAATAAAATACACATAGAGTATACCCTAACGACAACACCACTTTTTAATGTGTTAAAACAGTGTAAATAACTAACCCACTCTCATTATACTAACTTGGTATTTGAACTGTAGAAGTCATATCTGGATTGTAATTGATCATCAACGTGTGTCAATTGTGTTTCGATATAGTACAGTGTTCGCTCAATATTATCAAAAACTATTTTGCTAAATGGTTCATCGTTATCATTTCTCAGCAAACATTTATACCTAAACAAACAAGCAGCAATAATATTTAATAAATTCAAGAGCAATATTTTTACTCAACTACTTTCTTACTTTAACTAAACTACTTACTTTGGATTCTTTAAAAAAAACAAACGAGATTTTGAATCTTCAACCCAAGCGGTTGCATCTAAAACTGCTTTTTGTAAAGCTTTAGTTTCTGCCCACTGAGAACGATTAGTTTCATTAAGTTCTTTAAAAAATAAATCTAACGATGTCCATTTTTTTACTAGAGTTTCTTTGTCTTTATCATCGCCAATCTATTAATTAACTCAACAGTTAGAAATTTATTGAATTACATTACAAATCTTAGTCTTACTTTAAGTTTTTGACAGTTTGATGACAATTTTAATGCATTTTCTAATTGACACTGAAATAACCCGACATCTTCCATAACTTCTTTTAACAAAATTTCATTGGTACTAGCATTAATACTAATACAATCTGGAGATTCATTGTTGTCAGTTGGAATAGATTGATTTTTAATAGTTTGTGAAGGCGCAATTGTAGCAGAAGAGGTAACAGCCACGTGAGAGTTTATAGCTGATGTTTTAACAGAACTAACTGTAAATAAATAAAACAAATGAAAACAAGTTATTGAAAATGTCTTTTTTAGACCAATAAATAAATAAAAACACAAACTTATATCAATTTGATCGAGTTGAGAAGACGTAGATGTTTCTAAATAGGTAGCAAGAATTGATTCGTTGTGATCACCCACTTTATTTGCTGACTCACTGTAAACAACATCATTAAATTAAATAGAGCAGAATTCGCTTTCTCCACAAACAATAATATTTCTCTACATCAATGGTTAATACATTCACCCATTTCTTCAGACTAACTCAAACTATAAATACTTCTACTATAATCTCTCCGACTTGTTTTATTATTTCATTATCCTCTATTCCTTCAACACGCTAGTGCATCTATTTGCTGCTATTGACCCAACCCCCGAATTTCCACATATATGATCATTCTTTATGTTGTCGAACATAGTTTACACAACCATCCCAACAATGTCATTTCAGCCACTTCCATTTTTCTTTAATCCTCATACCCATGTTAAAATCGAATTGGAGAGAAGTTTTAAAGGAAATATTTTTTTTCAATATCTTAAATAAAATGGACTCCTGGGAAAAAACAAGGAAACAATGAAAAAATGTAAAATAATGTAATGTACTCTCTAAGGTATGAATGTTTCTGTATGTAGCTCATACAGAAAAATAATAATATGAATTTGTACTTTGTTTTTTAAATAAAAAAGAAAAAACATACTTATCATTTTGTAATTCTTTTTTCACAGTTACTTCAACTTTGTTAATTTCTTGATCATTATTCTGGATTACTTTCTATGATATAAATACTTATGTAATTAGAAAAGAATAACATAATAACTCTGTTAAATATTTTCCTAAAATAAACAAAACTCAGAAACATCTTAACTTACAATTATACTTATCACAATTTTATAATTACAAATCAAATGGTAAAAATTCAAAAATATCAAAAAGTGAAAGTTTTAAGATAAGTGTAATATTAGTACCTTACAAAATATTTGCTGTAATATTTTTTTTAATTTTTACAAAGAAAATATGTAGGTAAAATATCAAAAACTTTCGTTAGCATAAATTAGTGTTTTATAACTTACTGCATTAGAAGTAGTCAAAAATAATTGTGACACTACATTATCTGGTATTTCCATGGCGGCCTTACATATATTTTGGTAATTCGGTAATTGATTTTCAATATGATACATAAATAGCACACCGTCGCTTGATAGTACACACAATACTGGCATTGGATTGAGAAACGTTTCTTCGTTGGATTTTGATACTAAACGTATACATAATAATGTTCATCCATAAAACAAATTAGGAATTATTATAATTTTATTTAACAAATGTTTTTTTGAATGAGTGTTATACTTTGTTTTATTCGTGTTTGTGAAGAAAGATCTAAGGAAATTCCTAACGGATACATTTGTTTATCAAGTCTATAAGGCAACTCTGGTCGCATTTCCAACGTCCAACATTGCCAGTGCCCATCATTATTCGTTCCCATAACGCCAATCTCAGTACAATTTGAAGATGCCACAAAAAGTAAATTCCTATAAAGATAGAACTATTTATTAATGCATCGTATTTCAGATAATTATTAAAAAAAAAAAAAACCAACATTATTCAAATCAGACAATTTAATACTATCTCAACTAAGAGTACAGGGATAAAATCAAGAAAGTCACTTTTTCTTTAATCTAAAAAAAACATGTTTAAATAACTAAACATTTTTTTTTTAAATACTTTAAAAGTAATATTCAATTTTTGTTTTTTATCACGTTTAAAAATTAAGAACAGATTCTTCAACGCTTAGATGTTAAATAACCAAAAAATGTACAAATAATTAAAATGTAATGTTTTATTACCAATTCTGTTGAAAAATTGTATAGTATTGATTAATTCTATACTGCTCTGAATTCATGATAACAAATTGTTCAAAGTTGATGAATTCTACAGGGGCATTTTTCGGAGTGTTAACAATATAAAGACCTGAAATATTTTAACAATTAATATCATTATTAATTCAATTTAAATGTATTAAAAATTATTATACTTGGCTGATCATCTGAATTGTCTTTTAAATCATAAACTACAGCAAACTGAAAATTTGATATCCATTTTACTTTAATTGGTTTCACACTAGCAGCAATATCAGAAGGTGGTGAATATTGTTTTACAGCTTTAAGCTCAGGTTTATATTGTGTTAATGAACCATTTAAACTGCCAATTATAATTTGTTTTCCTTTAGGGCTCCAACTCAAACACCTAGCGATTTGTTTATTTTAAACATAATTGGTACATGTTTGAATTATACTTACTTATTAATTACTTACAGAGTATTCGACTGTGGAGGTAAGTTTACAATACTGTAACTTTGGTCAGTTTTTAACTCGATTACGTGTAACGATCCATCAGATAAACAGCATGCCAACGAGTTCTGTACACCAGGATTCCACAACATATCGACAACGTGTGAATACTGAGTAGACTCAATATCAATACATACCAATGGGGTTACCTGACTCTAATAAAAAAATATTTATTTATTACACATAAAGAAATTTATTTTAAACTATTCGTGCAATCTATTTTACTTGTGATATCAAAGTTTCAATATGATAGATTTGAATCAAAGGTTTGAAATTAATAGTTCCAGCAACCGCCAAGTAATCTTCATCACAACTGAGATCCAAAAAATTTGGAACGTGATTTAACTCAATTTCTCGCCTTAAAAAGTTTGAAAGTGTATTTTTTTCAATTCCAAAATCTCCAACTAGTTGCCGCACATCATTCATAAAAATTACTAAAAAAATGAATGTTTTAACAATTAATAATATTTTATTCAAAAAATATATTTATTATTTTAATATACCAAAAAAAATAACTAAAATAGCAATTACATAAAACTCATATAAAACAGATAAAAAAAAATGAGCCATATTTCAATTCAAAATATTCGAATATACATTTAGTTTTATTTCAAAACTTTATGTCAAAAACCCTCAATATTAAAAAAATGTATAATATACTACAAAAATAAATAAACAAAAATAATGCTTATCGTACAGCATAGATGGTTTGGATATGCGACAAATGTAATTCCGTAGCGATTCGAACTAACAACCAAACTGGTAGATCCATTAAACTGCTGTCCTTCATTGAAAACACGGAGATTGCAAAATGATGTACATTTAAAATCCTGTAATAACCATAATAAATATTTTAACTGAATTTTATAAGTTAAATGTTTTTTTTCAAACGGTTAGGGATAATAAGATTAATGATAATCCCATTTATGATTACTAAACAAAGAATTAAATCGTTTTTGATATTGCATTTAAAAAAAAAAATGTTAGTATGATTTTATTATGTATTGCCTATAAAAAATAAAAATAAAATATTTTTTATTTATGAAACTAAAATAGAGATGTATTATGCTTTTAACATAATGTTCCAAATGTGTCCTGTAACAAAATTCCTTGCTTTTTCTTATGTTAGAATTACATCTGTATTTCAAATTCATCAACAACTTTAGAACCCAAAAAAAGAAAGACAGTGAGTATTTATTTCTTTTAAAAGTTATCTGGTCAAGGAAAGACACTTCAAGCGACTAATAATCAAAGTGGTGAACATTCGTAACATAACTACTCAGTGAACAGTGGCGGTTCTAGCATACCAGCAGGGAGAGGCAGTTGCTCGTAATCATTTTTTTGGTACACAGCTATTGATAAATGTAACCTTTTAATAAGTCTTATAAATTAACTCTTAGCTGTACGAATTTTACATCCTAGAACCGCCACTGTTCCAATGCTGTCATATGCTACAAATATTTCACACAGATTAATCAAATTGACATTGTCTCAAAGCAATTTTTAGATTGTATACTGACAATATGCTATACGCAAATTGTTACAGTTGATATAAATGTTTTTAAAAAAAAAAAATAGTATGCTAACACTCGTATTTTAAAATATTTATATTTAAATAGTCGTTATCTAAAGCTTGTATTCTTTTAATTACAACAAGGCATTTTGAAATAAGAGTAAAAATCAAAATGTATAGTTAATGCAATTATCCGGGTACCATTTAAGTCTATCATTTTTTAGTTTCAATATATTTTGTTTATTAATTATTATAATTGCATACCGTAATGTCGACACACGATCCCATTGTTGACTTAAGTACATTATTATTCATTATTATTATAAATCATAAACTATAATAGGTCTTAAAACGTGAAATCGTAAATCTTATCAACGATAACACTTAAAAAACCATTCATTAATTCAATATTCTAATTCCTCTGAATTAAGACAACCACAACTATCAGTATTCATTATTCAGTTCACTTGTCAATTGTCAGTTACCCTGCGGTCTTGCCGGATTCCGGATAAACCGATTTCGGCTATTATCACCTAACCTAAGCTTCATGGAAGACCTGATAAAATAATGCCTATCCATCTGACTTTTTCCCCGCCATTTTTTTAGGATTTTCAGTAGCATTAACAAAGTATACCAATGTTTTGAGGCTTAAGCTGATTACAAATTGAAATCTGAATACTATACAAGTATTACAACTGCAATTTTGTTTTCTGCACTCTGTAGGTTTTTAGAAACTGTAAATTTCATTGATTTGCCTCACAAAATCGAAGGCCGTTTTTCACTTTACCAAATACCTACTCAGTGTTTAATTTTGTTGTTAAATTATTTTAACTCAAATTCCACAACATATTAATCAAACATGGTGGCGTTCCTAGAGCTGTGTCGCAAATATTTCAATACCGACAATCTTTATGACGTGTTGAACACGAACAAAAAAGCTACAGACAAGGAAGGTTTGTGTTTATTATATCTGCTATACTTATTGTTTATATATTGCATTGTTTTTTTTTTTTGAACAGTACGTAAAGCATACTACGTGCTATCCATGAAATTTCATCCAGACAAGGTAGCCGAGAATGAAAAAACAGAAGCTACTGAAAAATTTAAAATTATAAGTCAAATTCATGCGTTACTTGCTGATACTGAAAAAAGAAAGCTATATGATGATACAGGTATATAATTGTGTTAATTTACAATTCTTGTTAAAACAGATCTACGTGGAGAGAAAATTAATAACAGTGACGGTACTGTCTCGGTACAACACTTTGTAATAAGACATTGAAATGATTTTATCTACAGCCTGAATAGATAGATTGATAGAAGCCAGATGGTACGATCTTATCTCTAATAAATATTTTTGGCGGACTATTAAATTGAAATTGCATACATTAAGAAATCAGATCGAGATTAATATACATTTGTTAACAAAAAAAAAAAAAATCCAGGACAGTGAAAATGCTAATTACATTAAGCATCACAAAATCTCAATATTTGTACTCTACCCATCTATAATCTATCGGACATAGACGTTTTTGCGCACTACCATTTTTATAATATAAATTATTATATATTATGGGATAGAGTATAAACTAATTAGTGTCCCAAAGATTATTTTAGCTATATTATAGCGAGATCCACAGTTAAGCTATTTACACTTTTAATTTGTTACTACAACAACTTAAGTTTTAACTCCTTACTAGTCTTGTTTTAAGACCTTTAACAATCTAGAAAAAACTTGTGCAACTTATGCTTATATATAATAAAATAATATTTAAAACCCTTAACCATAAAAAATTATATACTCTCCGTAATCGAATCTGAAGTTATTTAGTAAATGTTTGAATTAATTTATACTTATATGGTTGTTGAGTAACAATTTTAATATTATTAAGATTATTTTTTTGTTTTGTAGGATGTATTGGTGATGATATCGACCCCAATACTACTGAAGATGATTTCCCATGGGATACATATTGGCGTTCAATATTTAGGAAAATTACAGACGATGATATCAGAGAGTTTGAAAAGAGCTTTAAAGGTTAATTAATAGAATAGATTTAAAAATATTTATAAATTTACCGATTTACTGTAATACAGGATCTGATGATGAAAAGCGAGACCTTAAGAAAGGATACCTGGCTGGAAAAGGAGATATGAGTTTTATTATAAACATGGTACCATTTAGCTCGGTACACGAAGAAGATCGCCTTAGAGAAATATTAGACAAAATAATTGAAGAAGAAAATTTGCCAAAATATGAAGCGTACACTAATGAGCCACCTGCGAAAAAGAAACGGCGTTTAGCAAAGGTAATGAATTTTTTGAGAAAAGAATCCCACATTTTAATTATGCGTGTATTATAACTCGATTATAGGTTACTTCAAATTTTTATCTGTTGCCATTGTATTTCAACAATAGTTTTCTTATTTTGTATTATTATATGACAAAAAACAGTTTACGTTTTGTTAATATTTGATTTTAGGCAAAAAGACAGGAAGTAGAATTTGAAGAAATGCAAAAGGAATTGAAAAAAGAGCAAGAAAATAAGACTGGTGAAACTGATTTGATATTAGCAATTCAAAAACGAAGAGCAGAGCGTGAGGGTCAAATGGATGATTTCATATCTAGAATGGAAGCTAAATATTGCAAATCTGAACCTAAAAAAGCAAAAAAGAGCACTAAAAAGAAATAAAAAATAATGTGTATTTATTTAAAAAAATTAAACTGTCTAAACATGTATTAATATTGTTATAATTTATTTTTAATTTAACAATACTCAATTTATATACCTAATATATGTAAATGTGGACATATTTCTTAAATAAGAAAGAACAAATTTTACTTTGTATGATATATATATATAGTGTAAATAAAAACATAAAGATAAATAGTTTACCTAATAAATAATAAAATATTATAAATTCAGTATTTTGAATTTTTAACCATTGCTCTTATTTCTTAATTGATTACAAATTAAGTGGTCCAATTATGGCCATCACTAATCACTGCCTCCTCTTTGGTAGGGATTTCCCATTCAAATTTGCTATTCATAACAGATCATTAATCTATTGCTGGAAAGCAGGATAGCATTTGTTTTTCAGCTATGACCATGTTATAATGTCCAGAACCTTTTCTTGAAAAGTTTGCTATTTTAAAATGGAAATACCACAAAATTTTCTGGGCTCTCTAGAAAACCATATTTTAAAAAATATCTAGAAGGGGTGTGAAACAATAGCGAAAATGAGTTAGTTAACTAATTACAAAAATTAAAACATTCAGTAAAACTATGAAAAAATGGCACTATATAAATATATATATATAATAGGCGGCTTGAGCACCTTCCCTCCCCTTACTCCTTAGATGTTTTCCTATTTGCTCCACTGTTACATATAGCAGATTTACTTATAAATCAAGTATAAGTACGCTACGTAGTTATTTCGTCTATTTCAAAGGGTTGATGACTGATACAAAAAACCCGAGAGGTTTACCAGTCAAGCATGCTCTCACCAAATACAATGCACCGTGGATTAACTACCTTTACAGATACCATAGTAGGTGGTAACGATTAGCAAACGGCCGCGCTGTCTCTATACCTATGACCAAAAGATATGAAAGAATACTATCCTTTGAACGGGTTCTTTCATTTTCCAAGGGTGTGATGTCCTATCCCTATTGTAGTGTTTAACGCATCGTTGGAGCTTTTACAAAGTTTCACACTAACGAACCAGTTCAGCCGACACATACTGATACCTATATAAATACGATTCATATTGTGTGCGGATAAGCCTTTTTATGATGGGCGTTGTAACGTGAGATATTATACACAGTATACAGACACGTTCATACACAATACACGATACGCCACCATAAATAACCTATACCCTTATAAGGACACTGGATAAGTTGCTGGTCAACATGAATTGTTTAAAGATTTCCGCAAGTATTTGAAAGGCGAAACCAAATAATAATTATACCTATTCAGTCAACCATAGAGTTTTCTTTGAATCTTGCTCCCTTTTCGCATTATCACTGCTATTACTATAGTTACTTCTATTCTTCAGGTGTACACACTATTTGGTATTCAGGTAGGTAAGGAGGTACAGCTTTATTTATTTTTAAAATATTCATTAGTATATTTTGAATGTATACATAAAAATAGGGATTTTAACATTAAATATTTAACTTTTGATAATTGCCGTGTGTATTTTAATGAAATTTTGAATTTAATATATTAATGAATGAATAATTAAGTGACAACTGAACTGAACCAAATACCATCGGTTGTATAATTTATAATACTCAAATATTCTTATAAATATAAGTATTTATAAAAGTATTAAACATGTTTTGTATATTAAATTATACAATCAAATGTATCCTTACATACCTATATTATATGTTTTATTTTTGTTATTAAATTTCGGCTTTATACTACTAAATTCTAATTAAATAGACAAATAATTTTTTAGTGTTAGGTAGTCGAAATATTGAAACTTGTCTTAATTAAATTTTTCATCGTATTGAAATATTTCATAATATTAATTTCATGAAATTTTAAAACTATACATTTAGGTACATAGGTCTCTAGCTGAGATCACTACTAGCGCCAAGACATCAAAATTCAAATTTCTTCACGTCCCGATTGTGATTTGAAAACTGTTGGTACTAGGGCGTATATGCAATGGAATATGGATAAATACCTAACAAATAACTAATATATATATATATAATATATATATATTGTAGATAGATAAATTTATCTATTAAACGATTAATAAATAATATATTAAGATACAATGTCTTTGAAAAAAAAAATGTAAGATGCAGTAAATTTTAAAAAATAATTAAATATATTTTGGTTAGTATTTCCGTTATTGTTATGTGTAATGTATTTCAAATATACTGAATACATGATACATCTCGATTAGATATTCGCATCTCGTCTCAGCAACAGTCTCAGCAGTCAACCGTATCCTGTATAATTTATTTAAAGACTTAAAATGTATTTAATAAATGTGTAAATATATTAGGTTACTACAATTTTTATCAATGTTGTAAATTTTGTAAATTTTGTAAAGAGTGAAGATTATTTCTCTAGTTTAGAATTCCTAGAAATTCATAGATGATTGCACTTATTTTAAATAATATATTTTGAGTTTAGCAACGGGGAAAGAACGGTCGACAGTACTACAACCTCTTAAGTCTGAACTTTAAGTGTTATCCTAATTATCCTTGTACTCTTAAGGAAGCTTACTCTTATACTCGTTTATACCTATTCTTACTTGTAGGCACTCAACGTATGCAACGTATAATGAACAAGTCAATTAATTTTTCCATTTTGGTGCCTTTAACGGCTTTGTTACTATACTTATTTAAACCAACTGTAAATAAAACTATTAATCGTACACGGTTGGCGCATCGTAATCTGACTCCTTAGACAAACAGTCTCTCATAAAAGAGGCACGTGCTGATGCTCTGTTCTTTTCTGTTACTTGAAATTGCGTCCTAAATACCCATATAATACAAAAACCTGGTCGCATAGTATATGCCTGCGGCTTCTTTTGACCTGTAGATACAAACGCCGAACCCGGAATTTTACACATGCCCTTGTTGATTATAATTTATAAGACATGGTACCGCCGCTAAGATCTTTTTGGAAGCACCGCGCCGTTTTTAGAACCAGCTGAAAAACACCGCATCGTAGTTAGATACCTATATATTCTGAACACAGCTCTTGTGATTCATATTTACTTATTTTTGACTATACTATGATGTTTTTTCAAAAAAAAAAAATACACATATTACGCATAACATATGCGTACCTATAACTGCGCTCACATAAGAGAAACACGCGGAGGATTAAACCCCTTAGTGCAAATCAAATTTACTCTCTTTGCAGTTTCTTCTATTTGTTTAAGTAGGTGGTAAATTAAAATTAACTCTCATTTTTGTCATCTATGTAATCTGTCTATACTTTATATATACACGGACCACGGTCACGGGTAAACAATACAAATAACTTTTCATTATAGTTTTAATTGGCGACCGTGGCTTCAGGTGTTTCCTCCGCAAAGGAAATCTTAAATTATTTGTAAAGGACACTCGTTATAGTCGGCGCTTTGAGTTGTATTATACATTATTCATCACTGCACACACACACACACATACATATACGACACGCACAGTATTATTGTATTATTAAATATATTTTATTAAAAATAAAATGATATTTTATAAACTGTTTGTCTGAAGTGCAATGAGGTGGAAAATATTGCCAGAGTTTATAACTGGTCGGAGTGAGCACCTGCAGTCCCAAAAGATTCTATACTCACTACCAGTACATTTATGATGATCTTTAACTGGGACAAATGACTCGAAATAACGTTTTGTTACCATCGTCGTGGCTCGCTAAATATAAGCCTATACATACAGAATAAAAAAGTATTAAGTCAAACGTTAAATGACGGGTCTGATACGTCAAAAGAATAATTAAAACAACATACACGACACACAATATGATATATTATTATAAAATGTCTTTATTACCAGCTGTTTCCCAATAGCTGTAGATGTTCGTAGTATAAAAATGAATAAACACATACACTATTTGTGGAATACTGGAATCGTGTACTTTAAACTGCGATTATTATTTTTGGAGCTGGTTACTTTAGTGAATACCTACCGGCTACAATCACCGCAAACGCTAAAGCGTGACAATGCATAAACGTCACGTATTACTGTGGACCATACCGGGAGCTCCCAATAGATGTTTTGGTAAAAAAAAATGCAAAACGACAGAAAAAGACACGTTTTCTTGTACCTATACGATACCGCACGATTGAAGATTCTATATTATTCAACAATTCACATAAGAAGACCACCATCTTTTATTACACGCACGTTCCTCCAATTTGGTACCTACCAAAACCGTTCTCCACAAAGCTTGTCGGCATACTCAGCCGCCCGGGGCAACAGCCCCCTGTTGCCCCCCTAAATACGGTCCTGGGGTGAAGATATTGGTGAAGAGATTAAAATACAAATATTATAAAATATTTGTACTCTGTATTTCGATGTATTTAGAACCTATTAGAAGAATGAAGAATCACTCTGATACATACATATCTGTAACAACTGTGAATAAGTGTGTAAATCGAATTTGGGTCAAAATTGACTAAGTACGCTAAGATGTATATAGTCCGAGGCGTCAGCACACCTTGAATAAATGTCTAATTCGGTGGACCAACAAGAAAACCTTGAAAAAGATGTGAGTTATTAGCTAAGTTGGGATTAATGGTACCTAGCTAGTCAAAGTTTAAAATCGCTTCCCTGTAAAATCACTGAAATCGACTTGGTACTTACACACTTATTCACAGTTGTTGCCAGTTATATCTGTAACTGGCAACAAGTTATTTTGTTAGATATTATATTGTAGTATTGTACACAACTTTTAAACATACATTACATGCACAATATATCCATATAATTAATAATTGTGTTAAAACGTGAATTACAATTAATACCACAAATAAATTAATATTATTTTTTTTTTAAAAATGAAACGTTTTGTAGGTAATATGTTTTGATTATTAGTAAAATTAATTTATACCTAATCACCGTTCTATATCGTCATTAAAAAATATTAACATTATTGAAATTATAAATTTATATTGGTGTTATAGATCCCATATCTACTGTACGTAAACATTTAAAAATAAAAATAGGTTAACTTAAAAACTATTAACACACAAAGGCAGCATTTATTGTAAAGTGGCAATAAAGATTATTATTTATTAATAAATACATACAAATGTGTATCGCGCTAGAATATAAAAATTTTGCTACCA